GGGCTCGAAAGCGAGTAACTACTGCGTGATTTATCTTTGATTCTGGGGAACAAATGATTCGCAGGGCGCCAGGTCGCGACAACATGGCTGATGACGCATTATCTCAACATCTGCTATAGTCAAGTATTCAATTGTTTGTTTCGCAGAGTGCACTAAGATTACTACGCCCACGCTTAAACTCATTAAACATCTAAGTGTATCATAGCTTTGTTTTCGAGTAAGACAACTGTGAATAGTAGTAAATCATTGACAGAAAAATTTCTCGCGTTTAATTAGTTTTCAGGTGTAACAAGAATTGCTGCCAATTCGCAAAAACAAATGACATATTAATTATTAATGCAATATGTCGTGTGGTTGTTTGTCTCAACAAGTCTAAAAAGTCCTCAACAGCATATATATATATATATATATAATTATAGTACCTGGAGGACCTGTTTTTTTTTTTTTTTGTAAATCATGTATTTTGGAAATTACATTTAGATACAAATTACTGAGTAATGGAAATATGTATAATATTTCTCGATCTTACAGACCTAATAATAAGAAAATATGAGGTGGTGTTTTTCACAAAAGAAACAACTTTAAAAAAAGGGAAAAAATAACAAAACCCTCTGGATCAACAAAAAATAAAAAATAAAGAAAGCAATGGCCTGGAATCGAAAAAAAGGAATGTGTAAATGATCGTGACACGAATCGTTTACCGTCATATTCGAATGATATTTTTCATTCCCTGAAAACAGGGATAAAAGGACATTTTCTAAAAATGAAACCTAACTAGATCGATTTTTTGCCCCCGAATCTACGCACATACAAAATTTCATGAAAATCGCTGGAACCGTTTCCGAGATTCCGATTATATATATATATATACAAGAATTGCTCGTTTAAAGGATAAGATATATATATATATATATATATATATATATACTCCAGTGCTATAAGAGTCCTTTTATATATATTTCAGATGTATAAAGAGTACTTCTTTAGCACTGGAGCATTAGTTGAGGGCATCGTCAAAGAGTACTTTTATATATCTGGGCACCGTTTAGTTATGTCGTATAACTGTCGTGTAACATTACAAATCGGGCTTACCAACTTAGGGGTTTTCCCCAAATTTAGGCAGTTTACGTTTGTTTACTCCCTAAATTACGTTAGGATTTTTTAAGCGCGTGATATTTTTATTATATTTTTCCCTACGTTTTATTTCCTGTGATTTTCTTTGATTTATTTACTATATCCGGAAAATAAAATTAACATATACAGCATGCGGATATTTACAGCTGCTCCCTTAACTAATGTCTCACTGAGAACAAATTTGTTATTAATCGGTTGTTATTTTATTTTATTTTATTAGGAAAACTTACAGCAAATTAGGTACTTATTTTAAAACAATATTGTAACATATATAAAGAGCCAATTACAAGTTTCCACCTTTAGTACATAATTATGTTTTAAAAAAAAAGTCGAGCAAGTGATGAAAGAAAAAAAATAAAAAAAAAATTGAAAAACTTAGTACATAAATCAAATTCAATTCTTAGTAATTAGTTAACCATTTTTAGGAAAAATATTACTCTGTTAAAGTTTTTTTAGCCACAGTTGGAGAAGTAAAGAATGGGTCGATATTTCGTGCGTTAATAAATTTAGCAGTCCTAATCATAGAATAATTGCACCTGTAATTCGTATGAGCTCTGGGTATGTAAAGAAGTTTGCGGTTCCTCGTGATTGCTATAGGTAAATTTATAGTGATGTCTGATAATAGCTCGTGAGATTCAATTGAACCGTTGCAGAGTTTCAGGTAAAAACATACGTCACTAATATCACGCCGAATGGACAAAGGAAGAAAATGGTACCTATGGCACCTATCATTGTAGTCACGTGAATTATTATGCACTCTGTAATCAAGGTATCTAAAAAATCAATACTCAATACGAGACTTGTAAATCCCATATTGTGGATTCCAGACCTGCGAGGCATACTCGAGTATAGGTCGTACAAATGAGTAAAGAATTTTTATTGTTTTGAGATTACTAAAAACAGAAGAACAGCGAATAATAAAACCCATAGCTTTGTATGCTCTGGATGTAATATAAGATATGTGCTTGTTGAAAGATGAGTTTTGAATCGTGAATTACCCCCAGATCGCGCGCCTCATATACTCTAGCAATAGACGTTCCCATTAAGTTATATCCTCCGTCAATAACATTGCTTTTCCTAGTAAACGACATAAAGAAGCATTTAGTGATATTAAGATCTAGTTTGTTTTTGTTACAATACATTACAAGTCTTTGTAGATCTGATTGAAGCAGTAATGTGTCCTCCTTACTAGTGATGACTTTAAGTACTTTCATATCATCAGCGTACAGGAGTACTTTAGAGTGCATAAAACACCTCTCTATGTCGTTCACAAAAATGGCAAAGAGCAGAGGTCCTAACATGGACCCTTGAGGAACTCCTGAGGAAATAGGTAACCATGCCGACATGTGCCATTAAGTACAACTGCTTGTGACCTGTTGTCAATATATGAGGCGAACCAATGTAGTAGGTCTCTATGTATTCCTACTATTGCCAATTTGTTCAAAAGTATTTGATGATCTATTCGGTCAAAGCATTTACTGTAATCCGTATAGATACAATCTACTTGGAACCCACTGTCCATACCCTCAGTTATGTAGTTGTTCGAAAGTAGTAAATTTGTAACAGTCGACTTGTTTTTTAGAAATCGATGTTGGGCATCACTTAATATGCGGGAAATAGAGCTGTAAACCTGTTTATGTATTATTTTTTCCCAATACTTTAGTAAACATATTTTTGAGATAGGTCTATAATTATCTATTTTTGTAGTGTCCCCTTTTTTATGTACAGGTGTGATGTATGCCTGTTTCCAAATTTTGGGCACAATGCCTTCGGATATTAAGCGGTGATATAGGACGAAAAGAGGCTCTGAAAGTTCGGCCACGCAACTAACTATGAAGTGAGGAGGTATGAGATCAGGCCCACCTGATTTATTAAGATCTAATAATTTAAGTAACCTAAAAATTTCGTCTTTATCGAGGTATGGTATGAAGATTAACCGAATGGGGGATGTTCACATCACTAATGGCGGGAGGAATAAATTGAGAATTATTTTCTGGTGAAGAGAAAGTTGAATGAAAGTATTTTGCAAATAAATGACTAATTTGTTGACCATTCTCAACTGTTTCATTATTAAGTTTCATGTTGCCAGGAAAAGATTGAGCAGCTTTGTTCGCTTTCACATAAGTCCAGAATGATTTTGGGTTACTAGCTATATATTTTTCCGTGCTAAAGATATATTTTTTATAACATTCGCTTTCAACCTCCTTAGCCCTCATACGTAAGAACGCAAAAGTTTCGTAGTCACTCAGATTGCCATAAGTTTTAAACTTTTGATAGTATTTGTATTTACTGCGTAATATTTTTATCAATGACTGAATATACCAAGGCGGGTAACGAGAGGAATTAATCTTTTTGGGTATATATAAATCTCTTAGCTCATACAACTTACTATAAAAAGATTCTGTAGCATTATCTAAATGGCGCTTACTAAGTATAGAGCTCCAATCAAAAACTTTTAATTCGGACCGTATTTTATCATACTTACCTTTGGAATAAATATATTTAGTTTTATTAGTCGGATTAAGAAAAATAAATGGCCTGGAGTAACGCAATCTACCTAATCATATTTATTGGTCGCCCTAGCGACATCTAGTATCACTGCTAAGAACGTGGAGTTGAACTATGGAGAGTAGAGATAAAAAGTTTCCATCAAACCACATTCAATAGCACTAGCGTAGGTTAAATTTTAAATTCGATTAACACTGGTCAAGTGTTTAGTAAAAAGACAACTGTGGTAGGACCATACAAAAGTTTTCACTGTTGTATGAATGGCAGGTCCGTCCAGCTAAGTACCACGACCTCACAGAAGACCGGCGTAAGTAGTTAGTAGGGGTGGGTCGTAAGTAGTAGGGGTGTTACAACTTCTGCCTTTCGTCTGGTGAGTGAGGTAGCCACTTTATTCAAAGGTCGCAACGCATTTGTATCCTTATGGGAGTTGCTAATGTCCTTGGGCGGCGGTTATTACTTAACATCAGGTGAACCGCCAGCTCGTTTGCCATTTCAACACGTAAAAAAATTTGTTATAGTGCAAACCGTTGGACAGTGGCAAGTCAACTTGTCTTGCAACTAGACCTGAATAGAATCGCTTTCTATTTTTTGGTGAAGTGCACCCTTTGCGTGCTCGATTAAGCCCCCGGCACTTGACTTGTCACTGCCGTAGTGTAAAACGTCAAATTAGTGCAGTGGCCGGCAACAGGAAACAAAATTGCACGTATTGCTCGTGCATTGCTTTTCTGGCTGTATTGTAAAGCCACTTGTTCGGTGTTTTATTTGTTTCTTGCCTTGTCCTTGACCAATAAACGGGCTTTAAAGAAAACGCTAAAAGTAATTAATTTTTTTTATCATTCGTTACGAATAACATTAATAGAACTAAGTTAAAATATTGGTCGTGTAAAGAAATCATAAGAGACAAAAAATTAAATTCCCTACAACTTTTGTTTAAACATTTTTTATAAGACCAACATTTTCGCTGCAATATCCTTCACTGTATTATTCCATTCATGTGGTAATTAAGGCGAAAATCTTTGCACTATTTATTATTTTTAATAATATTATTTTATTACGGAGTTTTTTACTTTAGGGACATATATTTTTTTAGGAGTTAGTAACTTGGTAAATTTATTTTAGGACTTGGTAACTTGATGGTAGCTTGTGATTACTGACATTCTGTGGATCAGACATATCTGGTCTGATCCTATCCGAGTTGTCATTACATTCATAGATATCGTAAAGTCGTCATTCTGCCAGACTTAAAATCCCTGAAGATTAACCGATTGAAGATAATTGTATATATTTAGTCTCGTGATTTTATTATTCTACTATATTCTAATCTATATTCTGTTCTGTATATTTAAGAAATGTGAGTTATGCGTGGTCTAATACGACCTCTTGCTATATTTAGGAAGGCCTTACAATCCAACAGAAGTGTTCAGTTAAAACATCCATTTACCACAGGTAGAACGTCGTTTGATAATTATATTAATTTAATGCGTCAACACGAGTTACAAAAATATTGCTTTTTTTTTTGGTATATTGCCCAGTTTCATTTATATGCAATAGTGATGTTTACATTATTTTAAATTTAAGCTTTAGTTTGGAGAGCCATGGAAGATAAGGAAGCTCTAAAAAAGCGGCTTACACCACTGCAGTATCATGTTACTCAAGAGTCTGGTACTGAAAGGCCATTTACTGGTATACCAAATTTTATTTATATATTTTTATTTTTAATTTATATTAATTAATTTAAATAGAGGAAAAGTATTATAAAATATAGTTTGTTTTGTTGAATATTAAATCTAAATGGTTCATAATTTTAGGTTGTTACAACAAATTTTATGATGAAGGAATGTATGTCTGCGTAGTTTGTAGACAAGAACTGTTCAGTTCCAAAACAAAATATGACTCTGGTTGTGGTTGGCCTGCATTCAATGACGTACTTGCTAAGGAAAAAGTAACATTACATCAGGATACTAGTGCAGGTATATAATTACTTTTTTGAGTATTCTTCCGATGTATAAAATTTTTATTAACTAACACCACACCAAATATCATTAAATTTTACTTACCAAAAATTATCTCGTGATAAAGTTATCAGTCAAAAAGACCTTAAAAAGTTCATTTTTCAATAACAAATAAAGAGATGTAATTATTTGAATAGCTAACGAGAGTATTTGACCATAACTTATAGATAGTTAATAAATGTGAAATTAAATAATTCTGTTACTTGAATTCAGTGATCTGGAAAAAAAAACTTCAATGCCATTGAGGAAATCATAAAGTAAACTGGCTCACATCAGCAAATGTGTAATAATATGCTTCAATAATTCATAACCCAATCCTCTCTCATTATATCCTGCAAAATTTTGGGCATTCTATTATTTTTTTTAAAGTTAGCAATGATTCACTGGGGCTTTGTTAATTGCTTTTCAATATTGCACAAATTATACAGCATGGCGTTACAACCCCTACATTAAATAAACACACTTCTAATGCTACTTGCCAATAATCATAAAAAATATAAAAAATTCCATAATTAAAGGAAAATAATTCTCAAACAAACTAATTAAATAAACTAGAAACAAAATTTGTAACATCCTATACAATTAAAACTGACTAATTTAAAAAAGACTTTTTCATTTGTTGTCACAATGATGCATTACAAGTCTCCTAACAGTATGTTTTATCTCTTAAATTCATTCACCAATTCATATGCTTTGTGTCCTTTACAAATGAACTTGATTGTACAGGTTTATATACATATAAGGGTGTTCTTAAATTATTTGTTTGGGGAAATTTAATAACACTGTAAATATTGGTGTTTAAAGAAAATAAATGTTTAATACAATTTCAAAAAATATCCTCTATATGGGAGCTGATTTAATGTTGCAATAGTAGCGCCATTTTGTATATCACATCTGATTCTGTAGTAAAATGATAAATTACATAATTTTCACATTAAAATAATATAAAAAAAGACATTAATTAAAAACTGAAGAAATTTCATTCCAGTACCGTAATATAAGTTTTAATATGAATTTTACATAGATTTATCATTTTTTGCCAAAAAATAAAGTAGTTTTATTAACTCTCATACACTGCAAATATATTTCTTGTACAATGGCAGCAGAGGTTTTAATTAGTACTTAACTAGAATTTAAATAAATTGACTAGTTACTAGTTAAGAACTGATTGATACCTCAAGGTACTGCCCAACAGGAAGATAAGACATAATATTCATATAGAAATTCGATTGCACTAATGGAAATAAATGTATAATCTTACATTTTATCATTGCTTTTACAAATATTTTTAAGTCATCAGTCAGTAATTCTTGGTTAAAAGGCTATTTATTGCATTCATATGTGACTTATGCCCGATTTCACCAACAACCCCTGAGATTTAAAGAGCCCTTTAGCAAATTAAGGGGTCCATTAGGGGACCGTTTTCGTTTCACCAATATTTAGGGTCAGTTATTGACTAAACAGTCCCCTACAGTTAGAAGGACGTATAAGGGTCTCATAAACCGTCCCATAACTAAAAGTAATTTTAAGAGAACAAGATAGACAGTGATTTATTTGGTTTTCTTGATAATTTAGAGACCATTGATACTATATTTGATATTAATCGAAATTAAATTTGTTTCGAGCAATCTTATGTCTTTATTGCACCTCTATTTTATAATTTATTTCAGACAGTGCTTGCTGTCGGCTTTCTCAAAACACCATGTGGCATTCCTACAATGCACACTGCAGTCGTTCTATGCTTGCTGCTATTTATTTCGTGCAATAACGTTTTACGTCCTTATTATGAATATTACTTTATTTATAACCTATTATCTTCTTATTATGTACATTTCTATTTTATAATTAACCTTTTATTAAACGAGACACCCTTTGGCCCATGTTCTTTTTAGAAATTAATAACTATATCGCTAATTATATTAAATTCAAATCACAGAACATTTTTACTCAAAGATTATTCAAATAGTAGAAACTAGAAATGGTTTCGATTACGTCGAGTTGAACTTGCTTCAAGTGATCAAGTCCAAAGAGAATGTAATCACTACAGTTACATAATTGATGGAAAAACGGTGTTATTAAAATATAAAACAATGTATCTTCCTTAAAATAAATGTCATTACATTGTTTTAACTTAAACTAAAATTTCCAATGAAATCCGCAAGTAAAATTCAGTTGGATGCACTACTGTTGTAAAAAATATGTCACTTATGGAGGGGTCTACTAGTTAGGGGCCTGTTATGTTGGTGAAAAGCAAATTTAGCTATGGGATAGTTTAGTTTAGGGATCCCTTACCTATGTGATTGTTTTGGGCTCGATGGTGAAATCGGGCATTACAGTCTTACATTAACAAGAAAATTATAAAAACATTACAAAAGCTGTCTTAGACATTAAGATATTCCTTGACTGTCACATGCCTAATGCCTTGCCTATGTATACTCAGGTTTAATAATATAGCTTAGTACAAAACAAATATTTTTAAAGTGCTTATATTTAGTTTTTCATGATACAATTAAATATGTTAATTAATAAAACCTTTTTTTAGTATTTAAATATTTATTTAATTCTATTATTTATTGTTTAAAAACATACAGCCATCGTGCATATTATAAATATATCTGATATGTAAATAACTATTCCTATTTTTATAATTTATTTAATGACATTTTTTAATTTTTTGCTCTATAAGGTAAAAGGAAACAAGTTTTGTGCTAATATTTTTATTCTTTTCTGCCTGTCTTGCCCGTGTCCTTGACAAACCTGAATTACAATCCTGCCCTCCACAATAAACGTAAGTCGGCAATTGATTGGAAATTAAAATACTTAAAATGATGCACTTTTCTCTTTTATGTATTAAACATTTCTTACACTTTTTTCTAAACATTTTTAAAATCATTCATTTATTTTATACATCTTATTATTTCTTTTATAATTATTTACTCCATTTATTAAAAAAATAACGTTTTTCGTTTGCATATCGTTATTTCTCGCTAACGAATACTTACAATGAAATACAATCACCATAACAAATCTGGAATGCGCATGACATTAATTTGCAATTATCCTTACTCCTTGAATTTACCTGCCCTTTCCTATTCCGTTCTGCTCCTCCTGGATGGCTGCCGGCCTGGGTGAACGACTGCTGCCGCCGCGACAACAACCAATACCTGCTACACCTCACAACACGAACAACGAAAATCATATGGGACTTGATCATTATTGCATCACCCCTTTTAATGTGATGTGTGTAAATAAATTGGCTTTTCGGTGAACGGACTATGTGTTTGGGATGGAAGTTGGGGCGAATATATTACTGGTTTTAACACGGCCAGGTATGGTGCGAACTGAGGTGCGTTGCTCCAAGTGCTCCGCTCACCTGGGACACGTGTTCAATGATGGGCCGGCGCCCACCAAGAAACGTTTTTGTATTAATTCCGCGTCATTGGACTTCATACCTGCTGAAGAGAGGAAAGACTAGCTGTTGGTTAGAACTATATTATCATATACAGATCAGATTCCAAAGACCTCGAACTTTTTGTGTTGGTGATCAGTAAAACCTATGTAAGAATTATACATTTTACTGTGTAATGCTTTCTCTTCCGCATTTAAAGATATTAATATATATAATACATTCATATACATGGTATTATTCGTTATTTATTTTATTATTTTCAGATGAATAAGACTAAAAAGTTGTTTTTACAACGTCATTAACGCGTGATTTTGAACTGCTATTTTTAAAACAATTCACAAGAACATTTTTTCACATAAATTTGAATATTGCGAAAGAAACATAAGTAATAAGATAATTCTAAAATTTTACGAGCATAATATTGCTTTTAATTCAAAATTTCATTTTTGTTGTAGTAACCAAATAAATGTAATTGATAATTCTCTGTGAGCTTTGTATATAAGAATTGACAAATATTGTTTTAAGATAAAATTCTGTGAACCTCGAAACATCGCCCAAATAAAATTATATCGGCTGTAATATGTTTTCTTTGATATTGATATTATTTATTCAAATTTTAAATAATGCGTTTTAATTATTTAAATAGTCAAATTTTATTTTAATTTCTATGCACTAATTGCATTTACATATATTTACTGTTGAGTGTATTAACTTTTGACCGACAAAAAATCTTTTATAGTACAGGTCACTTTCGGTGATGTGTATTTGTGGTCGCTTCATCACGCTTTTGTGGCATCACATTTGTGGCCGTTGTTCGTAGACGATGTTAGGCATAAATAATAACTTATGATTTTTTGTATATTGTTTGTTTATCTCTTTAACTGCGTTAACAAAGTTAAGAGAAGTTGCGGCTTAGTTCTTAAACAAAAAATCCACGAACAAAAAGTACGAGGTCTTTATCTATATAGGTAAATTCATAATATACTACCAACCTTTTTGCTTATCGATTATCTTATAAACTTTCATAATTAATTCTCTTGGTAAATTATTACTAATTTACATACAGTATTAAATATCGTTGCAATTATTCCATGGCAGCATGAAGTTTGCTACAGGGTTATGACTATGATAGATGCTTAGATAATATTTTTGTATGGAACAAAATTGTTTCTTGCACCCACCCATCCAGCTACAAATACTTTACGACGGTACAAATAAATACAAGAGCTTTAACTTATATATGTGGTAAGTATTAAGGCAATTGATAGGCATCAGAAGATCGGTTGTTAGCATATTATCAAACCAATTTACAACTATGTAAGAAAATTATTGCGAGATAGTAATTGCCATACAATTAATTATTAATGATTAAATATATATTTTTCTATCACCAGCTTTTACTACTATTAGTTGCCCGTCGTACGTATTTGAAATATTTATGAGAATTTAGAAAATGCGTTTACTAGAATGTTTTAATAAATACTAATACCGAACCATTATCAAGATTTAAATGAACGCAAGATAAAATACTTAGTTATTTTTTCAAACAATTGGTTATTAATTATAACCCGGTAAGCACATAGCCTAATAAAATGTTCTTGCTTTCTGTGTTTTTGGAAACAATAGTGAAAGAAATCGAAAATCACTTGAAAAAGATGTATATTTGAAATAATTGGCATGAATATAAGTACTTAATAAAAGCTGTTATGAAAAAAAATATTTATAGAGTTAGCATATTAAACTTTTATTCGTTTTGAGTTATAATATGTAGTATAAAAACAATGGTAAATAAATACCTCAATATTAACTTTAGTTACCAAAACCAAGTCAATTTGTTTAATACCTACAATATTTCATTTTTTTAACAATGCAATTGTTAAATTATCCAGTAATTTATAATCGTGTATTTATCACCCTCTTTATTTAACAATAGAGTAAAATTGGTGGATTAAATATTTTTATGTAAAAATGTTTTCTTTTTCCCCTTTTAATTTATTAGCTTTGAGGCCTTGATAGCGAAATTGACTGAGTTTTTCCAGAAATTAAAATGTGAATGTTGGTTATAGAGATACTAAGTTCAGTATAATTGTCTCCAATAACAGATATTGTACTATAGCAGTGGTACGGTCTTACGGTGGCAGGGCCACGTAGCATCCTCGGCTGTTGCACGAATGGGCAGGCTCGTCCAGGTAAGTACCATACCACGACCTCGCATAAGACCGGCGTAAAGTGGAAGTATAATACTTTCGCGTATCGTCTGCTGAGTGATGTGGCCGGAGCCCAACTTTCAAAAGGTTGTCAACGCATCTGCAACCCTCGGGTGTAGCAGATGTCTGTAGGCGGCGGTATCCACTTTATATGGGGTGAACCGTCTGTTCGCTTGACAACTGTGAATGTGAAACATAAAAAAAACGGTCATGCAACAGATACTAGTACACAATCGTCCAGAGTTCAGACAGCCACGGATCCAACGGACAGGTAGTATTTGCGGTTGTAATGGTGTTTCACCTTTTTTTTTAATTTATACAATTGTGAAGTGTAATCCTTAAAAATATTTGAGACATTTTTCCGCCATATAAGGCAAATCACAATTATACAGGGAGATTTTTTGAGAAGTGCCTAAATTTACACAAGAGGTTCAGACTCCGTAGTATAATCGTTTATTGAAATAAGAAACAAAGATTTTTTTCGCAAAATCCCGCCATTCTCCTTTCTATTCCCTAACAAACAGAACGTGTTGACAATGCGGTAGTCATTTATAAATACCTACGTTTTACAGTGCACGAACTTGTGTGCGTATTAGTTATGAATGACCGCGCGTAAAATAAAGGAGTTGCGTATAAATCACGCACTTTTTTTTAATGTCAAAAAGTGGCAAATGCGCTGGCGGTTCACCTGAGGTTAAGTGATAACCGCCGCCCATGGACATTTGCAACACCGGTTGCAGATGCGCCACCTTTTAATAAGGTGGCTCCGGCTACCTCACTCAACAGACGAAACGCAGTACCGTAAAATGGGGTGAATAGAAACGTTTTTAAGTTTTCGATAGATTTTTTTTAATGTTTTCTATGTATTTCAAAAATAGCAGTTGTTGCATCTCGTGAGTTAAAGATTATTAAAATGTTTTCAATTAAAGACGAACTTATTTTCCTAGTCATTTATTTAAAAATTAATAATATATGCGTGTTTTCTATTTACCCGTGATATGGGTGAATAGAGTCGAGAACGGGGTGAATAGAAAAAAATGCGGGATGTCAAAAATATTGGAGTACATGAACAGAGGAAAAAAAGATATTATTAATAATATTAATTATATTAAATTGTTTGTCTAATGATTTATTTAAAAAATAATTAACAGCAAACATACTGAGAACAAAACACCTAAAAAAAAAAAGAATAATAATCAAACAAAAAATATAGAAAATAACTTAGAAAAATATAAAACTTTACTTTACTTTTACGGTTTTGACAAAATACAAAAAAATTCTACAGAAAACAAAACCTGCAAGATGAAATTAATGAAATAAATAAAAATTAGAGTTTAGCACGTAAGTAATTATACGATTATTTGAAATATTAGTTTTTTTCAAATATTATCATCTCGTAAGTCTTTTAGTATATCGTCATCGTTTTTATACTTTTTCGGTCTATCAGTCCTTTTCAAAATTATTATAGGCGCTTTGGGGGATACTTTTTTGTATTTTTTAGAGTCACAAATATTTTTTTGTGTGTTTCTAAAAAATTTATATTTTCTATAATCTGTATTTTCTTCTTTCCCATCGGTAAATTATTTGTTACAGTTTCTGCAACTGAATTTTCTTCTTCATTACTTTTTAATTGACAGTTGGACAATTATCGAATCATTACCCATCAAATAATCTTCCACCGCTTCCTTAAGAACATTTTTGTCATACTTTTTATAGCGCATGCTTCCAGGTTCAGGCTTATAAACTCGCGGCATTATCTGAACAAGCAAAATAAGCATTATTTTTATTTAGGAAAGAAGCAAATAAGCAAATATTTTAACTATAAAAACATTTTATAAAATTACCGTTAGTACAAAATACCTACATACAAAAATATAGTAGGCATAATCTTGTTTGACAGCCCTAGCGATAACAATTCTAATCACCCCGGACGCATTACTAATCACCCCTCACGCGTTTCTATTTAGCGTTTACGCGCTTCTATTTACCCCATTCTCAAATCTATTCACCCCCCAGGCGTCGTCTTTTCACCCCGAATAAGTTCAATTTATAGGTAACATAACTTTTCGGCACATTTATAAAAGAAATCAGAATTAAATTGGCTTACCTGTCACTTATTTAATAATAAAGTAAATTAATAATAATATAAAAATAAAGTAATTAACACTCTGAATGAATTTGAATTAATTACCAAGTTCGGTTGTAATACTGAACAGCAATAAAAGTATTAAGCAGCTCAAAACGATGACCGTTATGGGTTCACTTTGAGACACTATTTCTCCTATTCAGGAACAACTTCACTACTAATTACTTTGTTGCCATAAAATAACCAATGTTGCTGTATATAAAAAAATACATTTTAGGTAATTTCATTGAACGCTGTGACAGCATTCTTGCAAAGTACAAAGTTTCGTTTTTTTTTTCTATTCCCCCCTTGAATTCTATTCACCCCATTTTACGGTAGTGTAACACTTCTACTTTACGCAGGTCTTCTGCGAGGTCGTGGTACTAACCCGGACGGACCTGCCCATTCGTGCAACAGCGAATACTGTTGCGTGGTCCTACACACTTTTTGAGATAAGTAAGCTTAAATGAATGTTATTCATTACTTACGAGTGATTTTAAATATTAACATTTTTTATATAACATATTTGTCTAGAATTTAATTTAAAAAAAATGAATACACTTAGAAAAGCCACCCTGTATAAAAGAGAACGTATGTCCACCTAAAACCGTTAGCCCAAACCAATTGACATGAAAAAGAAATTAGCACATAATTATATATTAAGGGCGACATGACCACTCGGACGAATATAGTTACCTTAGTGACGAATAGTGGCGTTGGTGGTAGTTATTTTCATCTTTTGAACCATAAGTCAAATTCATATACGGTTACACGTAAGATTTTTCTAGGTGAAGCGAAGCCCACCGTGCATCATCTAGTATAAACTAAAAACAGAAATGGACCCAGGATCAATTCCTGGGGAACACCTATTTGTACTACTGAACCCGATGACATACCTTTTATGATTCTTTATTCCCTATCAGCAACATACGAGAAAAAAGCAAAGTAACAGCCTATACATGTCCCACTGCTGGGCAAATGCCTCTATACAGAGGGTATCAGGGCATAGTCCACCACGCGGCCCCACTGCGGATTAGTGGACTTCACATATCTTCGAAAAATATTTTTTTGTTATTATTTCGAAAATATGCAGGTTTCCTCACGATGTTTTCCTTCACCGCGTAGCACGTGATAAGTCAGCACTTAAAGTCAAAAACTTCATTGGTGCCGGCACCGGGAATCGTACTCAGGTTGCTCGAGTATATTGAATTAAAGGCGAGCGCCCGGACACTGAGCTATCACGGCTCAACTTACGAGAAAACAAAGTTAATTACAGATATGCCAATACTACGGTATAATATTTCAATTACCGAATCAGAATTGAAAACATCGTCAAATACCTTGTAAGGGTCATAGAACACACCAGTAGTGTCATAGAAGACGTCCCAAGACTGGGGGATATGCGATACTAATTTTTCTGCATGATTTGTAGATCTACCTTTATCAAAACGACATTGATAGTGAAAAAAAATCCTTATTTATTAAAATGGACTACCATTTGTTCAACGATAATTTTCTCAAATTATTTGTTTAATGCTGACAAAATAAAACGAGTCACACTTCGGATTCCGTCTAAAACATTTTCGCCTCCTCATAAATAAAAAAATCAACCTAAACATCGATTGCAGACTCCCGAAATTACAGGACCACTAATAATAAAACGGTTGTCTGAGATAGCAATAATTTATCCCAATCCTCTGATAGTACCTAAAAGCAATTAAAAACTGAATCCTAACGTGACCATTTACAAACATTATCTGCGTCCAGTCCAGCAACTGTATGGACACACCGTTAACGTACACAACTTTTACTCCGTTTTTGGGCCCAGTACCTCAAAAGGAAACGAGAACCATTATACTGATCGCTTCGTTGTTCGTCTACCTCGGTGTCAAAGCCCCTTTTCACAGTAAGGTGTGGAAGTATCAACTTCAAATTAAAATACACATAATCCCATGGAGCTGTGAAAAAACTTCTAAGCCAACGCAAGCAAATGATACGACTATTTATGCTATACAACGTGTCGTTACCACCGCGACAATAAATGAACACACGTCTAAAGCTACTTGCCTAATCATAAAAAAATATTAACGTTAAACAAAATCAATAATTTTTAAATTTTTAACTTTGACACGTAAAGAAATGAAAACTTATAGGGTATAGTATAGGTACCGACAAAGATTTTAATGTATTAACACAATTAATCATTTGAATCTGCTGCTTCAACTTAGATAGCCTTTATTCATTTATTCCAATTAACAGCCACTTGTGAGATTAACGCCCGGTTTCTGAAACACTGATCATCGTAGATGTCAACTAATCAGCTGTCAAACGGCTTTAAAATTTTCATTTAATTGCCAAAAGGATGGTTTTACTCTCTGGATTGACCAGAATGATCAATTCAAAGAGTTTAACCATCCTTTTGGCAACTCAAATGACGTTTGAAAAGCCATTTGACAGCTAATTAGGTAACATCTACGATGATCAGTGTTTCAGAAACCGGGCGTGATCATCGTAGATGTCAACTAATCAGCTGTCAAATGGCCTTCTGATCAATTCAGAGAGTTTAGCCATCCTTTTGGCAACTCAAATAACATTTGAAAGGCCATTTGACAGCAGATTAGTTGACATCTACGATGATCAGTGTTTCAGAAACCGGGCGTGATCATCGTAGATGTCAACTAATCAGCTGTCAAATGGCCTTCTGATCAATTCAGAGAGTTTAGCCATCCTTTTGGCAACTCAAATAACATTTGAAAGGCCATTTGACAGCAGATTAGTTGACATCTACGATGATCAGTGTTTCAGAAACCGGGCGTAAGTATACAAACACTATCCTACATTACCATTGAAATATGTGAGAATTTAAAATTTTCTTGTTGTGTTAACAAATTTCCATAACAAAAATTGACAAAGGATTTCATTAATGAAAAGTTTATTTCATGGTGATTCTTTTTTATATAATATGTTTTTTATTTATACGCACAAGTAACTCGTACATGGCACTAGTGTTATATAACTGTCAAAAATTATGAAAACCATTTGAATGAATGTCTTGCATCTTATTATGTTTATTAATACATTTCAGCTAAGATTAGAAATCATTACAGTAACATTCTCATATTACCAAACACATCTTAAATTCATTCATATGATCACATTGTTAATTCATGTATTACTTACGCTCCTTTAGTTTAATGATTATACTGATACTGAATTACTGTTTCAAGCTCTCATCAAAATTTGGCTATATGTTTTTGTTACAACTCTATTTTATTGCACAATGTTTTTCAGTGGTTGATGCAATAAGTGTGCATATTTTACGTAGGCCCTATGTCAAATAAATTGTTAGGCCATGAGGCAATGAGTATTTTAAAAATAAACATACAATAACTTATTTTGATTTTAAAATTTATACTCTTATAATTAGCTTCATGTATAAGAAGCTAAATTATAAAAAAACAATGCACCAACCTGGTACAAATACAAGCATACAACTTTATAATGCACCAAATTAGTAAGACTGCAAGAGGTCTATGTAGTGTTATTTGGTCACTTCATATTGTCAACACATACAACTTATCATTCCTAAATCTGTACAATTTACAGCAAGAACCGTTTATCCTTTTTTCAATAGAACCAACCAACTTTAACCAAAGCAAATACTATCTTCTCACTATAAGAAAAAGGACAACATAAATAATTTCAAACTAAATTCAATGGCGTCTTTCGCACAACTTAAACACAAAAGCAGAGAGACAAATACAGTTTTTTTACAAGGCAATACCCATAATGTATTAATATTGACAGTTTTTGTTTTGAATACTAGCTAACAGCTAATATTGTCTTATTTATATTAAAAGTAAATGAACTCTGATAAACTATCTAATTTCCGTATATGTAGGTAATATACAATTGTTTATTTAAAAGCTTAATAATACTTTTGTGCCACAAAAGATACCAAATTTTCTGAATTCAAATATAATCATTACAATAAACTATATAAACTTAATACTAGGTAAATGCTTCACTTTCATGACTAACAATAAATGGATTCATCAAAATATTATTTCTTGGCGATAAATACTTCAAAGTAACAATGCATGTAATTTAATAAAACATATTTTTAAAATGTTCTATTACTGGAAACGTCATCAAATGTTAATAAAATCGCAATCATAGTAAAACTGTTAATTCATAATATATAACTAAAAAGTACAAAATACATAAATCATTAAGAAAACTATAAATATATGATAATGCATAATTACATAATCCTAGCTTGCTAGTAGCCGTAACTATCAAAAGCAATATAAGCCAACATATTTATAAATTATAGGATTGAATCTCAGTCAAAATTAATACATAATTTATATTGATATCATTTTACTCAACTCTAGCGTCGGGTTTGATGCATCATCATCGACAACATTGACGTCATATTTGATGCTAAAGATATTAACCCCTCTTAAAGTGGAGTTGTATAATATATCTTTTAAAATAACCATTGTCTTAAAATAGGAAACCTTTCATTGCGATGTTACATCGAAGATGTAAATTTAAACACTTCTATTGCTTATCAACCATTTTTATGACAATCTCTGTACAGACCAATGTCCAATTCCAATTTTAATATAATGGCACCATTGAGGAATAATTTGATGATTCTGCCAATGTCACACAGACTAATGTGTTAATCAAATTTGCTACTGTTGACATGTTTCTATGATACACACTGCATGTGCTGTGCAAAAATTATATGATCTGTCAAAAATAATGTGTCTCTGAAGGGGTGTGCCAATCCACTGTCATTTCCCTCTACTGGCTACCATCACAGTAAATAAGCTGATCTGGTTTTATTACTATTATCAAACTACAGTATATCTAATATTTATACTTTACAAGAACTTGCTAAGTTAACTGCCAGTCTTCATTTGCAGAATATGTCAATATATTCCCAAAACCTTTTCATAAAACTAGCAAATATCTACACCCTATTTTAGTTATCTCAACTCTTTTTAACAGTAGATTGATACACCTCCATCAGAGATGATGTAAATTGAATAAATAATGTTTCTACACAATACTACAGAATTTTTTACAACTACTGGACTGCATTTGTTATCATTTCTCTTGTAAAAATATGATCACCTCTGTATACTATCGCAGCCATTTTATAAAACAAGCTTGCCTATTTATCTAGCATCATAAATTTACATATTTCGTACCTACTTTATATACCACCATAAAATGTAGTGGCAAAAGTATGGCCAAATTTGTTTAATTTGCAGCCATGATGCACACATTCTTTATTAAATGGTTCGTATATACGTACATACGAATAGTACACGTTATAGGCACGGAGGGCGCTAATGTCGCGCTGGCGCTGCGGTGGGCGCCAGTGGCCTGCGCTAATGTCCCTTGGCGGCTTCTTTTGCTGCCATTATCAAAGGAGTGAGGGAGGCTAGGGGTCTCGCCATTTTTAAGAACGGATGCTGTAACAACATACAAGTCATATATAAGAATAAAATAAGAATTAAATTATCAAGTTTAATTGTGAAACAAATTTCTTATTAAAACCATTTTAAGTATATGTCACATAGTATTCATGTGAATAATAGACAAGATGGTGATGTGTTTAAAAAACAAAAATATTTTTCAGGTAAGCAACAGTAATTAGCGTTGATAGGATAAATAAGACACACATTTATAGAAATAAATAAATTAATTTAATTTACCTTAAGTAAATCTAACGCTGTTGCGCGCTGCTCAACATCTACTTCAAGGCATTGGTCTAAGAAATCTTGGAAGACTGTGCTTAATTTCTCCTTATCTTTTATATCAGGTTTTCCATTAGTTGCAATAAGGTATAGAGCTCGCAACGGATTCTCGTTCAAGTATGGAGGTTCACCTTCTATCATTTCAATTGCCATTATGCCCAATGACCACACATCCACCTGTCACAAATATAACAGTAAATTAAGAATACTTATAACTTTGGACAACAAAAACAAAAATTGAAGTGTATGGAAATAGAATCAACCTTTTTTAATGCAAGTATGTCTATTGGTAGACCATTTTTTTTAAATTACTACTGATTAAATATAACATGAACTTTTGTCATACAGGCATTTAAAAAAATATCTTATTATAGATGAACAAATATCCATAAACAATTTTAAGTGTAAAAACAATACTTAATATATAATAATAATACTAATACTTATGAATTAAAATTAGCAGCTGTGCCACAAGTATTTAGATTACATTATTCTATTCACTCGCCATATTCTTAAAAAATCAATTAAAAAAAACACATTTTGGACACCATACCTTTGGACCATACTGTTTTCTTGTAACAACTTCAGGGGCCATCCAGTATGGAGTTCCTACCATAGTAGTCCGTTTGTTCTGCTCAGGTGATATTTGTGCACAGAACCCAAAGTCAGCTAAAATTAAAATAGCAATAAAAAATATAAATATATTATACATATAAATGAAAATAAATTAATCATCTAACAAAAGTAAATTAATCAACAAAATTTTTTTTGAAAGCCACCAAGCTATATCCTTGGCCCATGGACATTTGCCGTTCTTCAATAAAGTGGACTCAGCGAAACAGCCAAAGCTGTTGTGTGTCCTACCACATTTAATTGACTTTTATCTTCACCTTTTTGAAGATCTCTTCAATCTCATTTATTCTCTCCATTTTAATTCCATATTATCTTACATATTTATGAATTTTACATATTCCTTATGACTTAAATTGATATTAAAATAAATATTAAAAAAATTCAGTTAACATCATTTTCTAGACAATAATAATACTATGAAAATTAAATTTTAAATACGACCTCAAGGTTCTGAGTACATACTTAGTTTAACCTGGCCATCCAATCCAAGCAGTATGTTATCGGACTTGATGTCTCTATGTATAACATGATTAGTATGCAAGAAATGTAGTGCTTGTAATACTTCACGGCAGACTGCTGCTATCTGTCCTTCGTCCATACAAGTTTCGGTTACTACGTCTGTCAGTGAGCCTCCAGCAAGGTATTCCATTACTACCCACAATTCCTATAATAGTATAATGAATGAATTCACATTTAAACAACAAAACAATGAAGACTGAATATCATGGAATGGGAAATTATGCAACAGTTGTTGTTTATGAACCAGAAACTAAGGGATAAAATTTAAGGTGACAGTCATAGATGTAGAGATATAGTCAGTACACATATGCCTTTGCTTGTATATCCAAATGCAATAAACTCGTGAGAAAAATTTTCATACAGTCTTTACTAACAGCATGAATGATTCTTGAAGAAAGTTTGGGTGCATGATGTATTGAAATTTTGAGTAAATTGGTTGTATTATTGGTCATAAGATTGTAATTGTTGATCATAAGATAAAGTTCATTTTGTATATGAAAATTATGAAAAAAATGGTTAAAATGCAATGGATAGCGGAAAAAACTGTAGGTTTAATAGTTCTACTACCCATGAGAAGCCAGGATGGGCCACTAGCAAATTATAAATGGATTGGTACTTAATGTGCTTATTGATGCATTGGCCTAAATTTATTATCAATTCATTATCAAATTTATACCTCATTCACAAGGTAGCTGTCTAAATAATTAACAACATTGTTGTGTTTGTTCTCCCGCATTACTAAAATTTCGTTGATTATAAGTTCCTTTTTCGGTTGTTGGCTTAGGTTCATTTGTTTTATAGCTACTTCCATGCCCGTTGACGTTTCAATAGCCGTGTAAACAGTTCCAGATGCACTGCAACACAAAAACGAGATATGATAATCAATGTCAACTATTACATAAAATTTTGATTTCAAGGGTGTTGCTTACCCCTGCCCAATTTTTTCCATTTTAGTATATTTCCTATTTGGATCTCCAACACTCACAATTGTCCTTAGTTTTTCTAAAATTTCCTCATCTGTCATCTTCTTTTTCCTCTGCTGCTGTCCTGTTGCTCGTCTATAGTTATAAATTTTACATAATATGTAGTAATATATGTTTTTTTGGATATTTTATATTCATAAGCATTACAGATTAAAATTTTTGGTCAGGTTGAAGATGGTGTTAAGTATATTAAAAGTTTTGAAACATAACTTTAGCAAATATAATATTTACTATAACAAAAATATACTATTTCAGTTGTCCTTTAGGGTATGATACCTCTGAGGCAAATTTCTTCAAGACACAAATTAGAATTATATGGTTTATGTTCTAGGTTTTTTGTATGTTCTACTTGATGAGTGAGGTAACCTCTTTATGGTCGACCACATACCTGCCATATCACTAGATTTGTAAATGTTTGTCCATTATAAAATGTGGAGCTATTCAGTATATCTTATGATATTATCTCAAATTCAATCAAACAGTATATCTACCCGGTATCTGTGTTAGTCTGCGCGCCATTGGCAGGTGGGACGTGTGCCACATGCGGAGGGTGGGGCGCGTGTGCGGGCGGCGTCTGTGGTGCGGCCACGGGTGCCGGGTTTTTGTTGCGATCGAGCGGCAGCGGGGAGCCGGCTATATCCACTCTACTGCAAATCTGCACATGCCAAAGAACTATAAAAACCCAACCTTAAATTGCCAGCAGAACTCTAAAATCTAACAACACTACACAAGATCTAAGAATTTCTAAGAATTTCTACTAACCGAATGTGTGGTTAATGTTGGGTGCAAAACATGTGGTGGTGAAGAAGGTGCTGGAATCGGCCTCGGTGGTGGTACTTCCTCCTCTTCTATGGGCTTTGTGTACTGTAAATGCATTTGCAATCATAAACTAATGGATTTTTTATATACTTAAATATATAAAATCAAGCTTAATAATTAAGAACAGAAGTTTAAATAGTACTAGTCTTAACTGTTATATTATTAAAATAAGTCTGACAGATCATAGTTACACTTAGCAGTCTAATAAGAAAGCTCCCTATTAGATAATTAATCTTTAATTTTTACATACTATACTCTTGGTGCGATCAGGTCGAGATGGCGGTGGTGGTGGAGGTTCCGGATGTTCAGTGTCTGTAGGAGTCGATGATGACGGACTGCTAGATGATACTCTTGATACTGATGAACCTAAATAATGGATATTACTGTAGAAAATAGAATGGTAATAGAATTATAAAAATAGAATTTTAAATTTTATAATGATTATTGTACAAAATTGATCTAATAATTGGAAATTCTTCAAAAGATAATTATTGACCTCATGGATACCTGAATGGGTAGTGTGCATCTGTGCAGATGTCATGTATTTAGATGGAGGTGGCTGAGTTGCAGAAGCATCATACCACTTGAGCACATCAAGAACAGCTTGTGGATTACTTTTCTGTTCCTGCTTACTGATATTTGAGGCCATTAGTAGTCTAGCCCATGCCTCTGGCATTCCCTGCAATAAATGTAATATAATACAATAAAAATGGTGTGCAAACTGTATCTGTTAAAGTTACAGATTTTATAAAGTAAAATCCATGACACTAAGTACTCATGCTTTTAACACAAGTTAAAGTCGACATTATGTATGTAAAAGATGGTTACTGCACACATACTTGCAATAGATTGCAATAGACCCAAAGAAAATACACTTTGCCCTTAACCAGAAAAATGAAAGAAGTAAATAAAGTACACACACACATATATATATGTATATATATATATATATATACAATGTGGCACTACTAACGCTGCAATAAACGAACACATTTAATTTCTTTAAACATCAATATTTACAGAGTTATAAAATTTTCCAAAATAAATAATTTTACAACATACTAACATATAAAACTGAAACATAAAGTTCATTAGTAAAGGTCATATAGTATATGAGTTGATTGAATTAATTTAAAAGAGATAAAACATACTGTTAGAAGGAGAAACTTTTGATGCAATGTCGTGGCAACAAATGAAAAAGTCTCTAAATGTACGAATCAGTCGGTTGTATTTGTATAGGATGTTACAAATTTTGTTTCTTTTTTATTCAATTACTTTGTAAGAATTTTTTTTGAATGTGAATTTTTTTAACATTTATATTTTTTATGATTATTGGCAAGGAGTATTACAAGTGTGTTCACTTATTGTCGCTAAAATTATGGGGATGGGTTTTCTTATCAAATTATTGACTTTTACTTATTTAAAATATCAATGCAAATGAAAATGGAATAGAAGCCGAGCCTATTTTTACGTTTAGAAACTCAATATATCATGCTTTCCTAGCTAATTTATATAAACAGATATTTTCTATTTCTGCATCAATTAAAGTTATATTAGATAGAATACATTAGTTAATGCATAGACAGATAATTACATAAGCTATTACTTACTGTCATGGGCAGCTTGAAACAAAAGCGGTAATACATGGAACTCATATCTCATAACAGTAGTGTTACAGTCAATCAAACTTTATTCAACACTATCTACTCAATGTTTTTAACATTATGGTTTCTCATTTAGGATATCATAAACTATCACCTATAATATTACTATTTACCACAATAATGGTCTAATATGAAGTTAACCATGTCATAGACTATAACCCGTCTATGACATGGTAAAGGTATTAACATGCTACTATCATATTATATTTCATATAAAATAAGCGTTGTTGAAATATAATTTTCTTAAATTTTCCAAAACATTATTATATTCTTGTTAAGTGCAATAATAGTTTTATACAATATACTTTTTCATAATATGAATTAGTTCAATAATAGGTTTATGTATCACAATTAAATCAACTACTAATTTGTCAGTTTTTCTAAATTTAAAAAGCGCAATTGCAATATAAACATAAATTATATTTGAGGCAGCAAGCTTGATTACAAATATAGTTGTAAGCTCATCTAAATATAATAATGTTGTGTTATGCCAAATAAACTGCAAACCAAATAAGTAAGAAATTTTCACATCATCATTTATGAATAACAAAGAAACAAAACATGAATCATGTGTCTTTCATTTCAAACATATCATTATTTAAATTCAAGTGACTAAAAGATTTAAGTCTGTATTTAATCTTGAAATGAATATATGTTCATGTTTGTTTAATAATTTACTTACTGTAAATTCTCCAGTAACTGCATCAAAGCCCACATGAACCGTATGTTCAAAGTTTGTTGGGTAGCTAATGTTAGGTTTGTTATCATTATGTGCTGTACTCTTGGAACCTTTAATTTTGGCCTTTAATGTTTTCTTTTTTCTATCGCTGCCATCATCTGGTTCTGTAATAAGACAATATGAACATATTATGAAATGTTAATATGTTTATATTACAACTAATTTAAACAATATGAATCAAAATAATATTACATGAACATCAAAGCTTACAAACAATGAATATTTAGAAAAGGTTAACTGACTCATTGTAACAAAATAGGTCTGATGAGTGAATAAATTATGTTACCTTTAGGAAGTGGCCTCATATCAACAGAAGCCACCGAATCACCACGATCGGTTGCTCGGTTGCTGGTAAGACGCACAGGAGGCGCTGGCGGTTTGTCTTCGTCACTCGACATATCTACTGCAAAGTTTTACCTACAATTTAAAGAAATGATTATTTTGTTATTAATTACACTTTCGAGTGAAATATCTTAGCTAGACAACGCGGACAAGATATTTACTTTCCCCCTATACATATAGAATATTTTGAATTTATATGCAACTGGGATAGAGGCATATAAAATAAAATTGAGAAAAAGCATATATAAGCGTATAGTAAGAACCAAAATATTACTCATGGACGCGCCCCGAAGACAATATTAAAACATATTTAAATTGTGTAAAGGGACTTACCTGTAGAACTACAAAAATAACAATAACAGCCCAAGGGTAAATTTAATCACATTTCAATGACTTATTGTATTTGGAACACTAAAATGACCAACGCTTTATTAAGGAAATTTAGAAAGAGTTCACACACAAAACGACGACAGCATTTATGACTAGAGCCGCCATTTAAAATATCGCACTCTGTGGCAACTAGTGGTGGGCGATACATTTCGTATCAGATATGAAAACTAGATATTAGTACAATATCCGAATATCGCTTACTGGCTCGTTCAATTGTATTTTACAATATCTGATATTTCCGAAATCTGATGTAACGTGCTCGCTCGCTATACCGACACGAATCGCGATATCATACGCGTTTGCCACAATATCTGATTTTTAAACAGATTTCGAGAGACAAAGCGCGTGAGATACAAATACTCACTAGTTAGAGCGGGACGGCAAGCAATGCACGATATCAGATATCGAGAGACAAAGCGCGTGAGATACAAATACTCACTAGTTAGAGCGGGACGGCAAGCAATGCACGATATCAGATATCGAGCGACACAAAGCGCGTGAGATATAAATACTCACTAGTTAGAGCGGGTCGGCAAGCAATGCACGATATCAGATATCGAGCGACAGAGCGCGTGAGATATAAATACTCACTAGTTAGAGCGGGACGGCAAGCAATGCACGATATCAGATATCGAGCGACAAGCGCGTGAGATATAAATACTCACTAGTTAAGCGGGACGGCAAGCAATGCACGATATCAGATTTTTAAACAGATTTTGAGCGACAAAGCGCGTGAGATACAAATATTACACTAGTTAGAGCAGTACGGCAAGCAAGGCACAATATCAGATTTTTTAAACAGATATTTTGAATAAGTTAAGTAATTTTGAATCTTAAAACCATGACAATAAGATCCGTTTCAATTAAATACTAATCATGGTATCAACGATTACTACAACGATATTATTAAGTATATTTTTATTGTTTTGTTTAGCCTTGAGCCGTAACGGGCGACAAAGCGCGCAGTTAAGTAATTTTGAATCTTAACAGCATGGAAAAAACATTTTTAGTTGCATTATATACGAATTACGGTATTAACGATGTCTTTAAATTTTGTTTAACCTTGAGCTGGATTGCATTGGTACCTAGCACGTAATAGTAAGGGATGCCAACTTACTACTTAAGAATTTTCTGCCTAAATTAAGGAAGAAAAATATAAATGGAAATTTTTTAGGAGGTAAATTTTTTGTGAATATTTTTATTCGTTAAATTTTATTCATATTTTTGGAAAAAAAATAAAACTACACAAAAACAAAATATAATTTAATAGTGCTGTGCTGCTTGGGTGGAAATCAGACCAAAGCTTATGTGCTTTGTGTGTATATTTTAAATTCTTCCGCCCTAAGTTATAATACTGAATGTATTATTTCTTACACAAATTATAAAAATATTGTCACTCACAATCGCGTGTTCTAAGAATATGTTAAACTCAATTATTAAGCGATATATAAGATGTTGAAATAAATCATTTTTATATTACTTCAATTTCTATTTTTAATGAAATTTTTAATTTAATCAGGTAATGTTTTAATTTTACCTTAATAGTATAAAAAAGTGTGATTTTAAATTCAGTAAGGTTTTTGAATTTAGTCAATTTTAGTGGGTTTTCGAATTTATTTAGAAGTATTCTTTTTGAACAGTTGGTTTCACTGGTAATAGCTTTATATATGTATGATCGTCGAATGAATGAATGAATGAAATGAATCAACTTTTAAATACGCCTTCACAATTTATATTTATTTTTTTATTATTATTATTTTTTTTTTAGAATTCAAGGTGGATACGGGACCGTAAAATATCTAGATATTAAAATACATAGTTTCGAAATCTGATATTTGAAATCGAAATCTGATTCAGATACGGTACTCAGAAAAAGCGATACGACCCATCTCTAGTGGCAACTGGCATCGACAACTGAGTGACTGTCTTACGTTTACATGGTGGAGTATAAACACCATGTAAACGTAAATTGTACAAATATATAGATAAGGAAATTAATAATTTTATAAATATTATAATCAAGCCCCCACGGAGCATATGTAATTTTTATAAAAAATTACATATGCTGTTATTGCGATCGCAAAAACAGCGTAACTAAACCTATTCGGAAGAGATGATAGAAGGGGACTCTACTGGAGCTCTGTCTATTTAATTCCCAAGAATACAACGGACTCAACAGGATTATGGGATACATTATTGAATATTAAACTAAAACTTTGCCCTCTTAGGAAGGGTAAAAATAACACATTTAGTTTTTTTAGCATTTAATAACATATTATTAATGTTAAACGGGTGGAGGATATGTGAAAATTCACTCATCATAATTTAGCACATTTTGGGCAGACTTAAAAATGAGCGATGTATCGTCAGCAAACAATACAACTGGCCTAAAACGAGAGTAATTTATATATACTATAAATAACAATGAGTGAGGTTGACCTTAGAATTAACATCATGGACAATTGTTGAATTCTATTAATAATGCCATGAATAGCATAATAATCTAGCTTTTTTTAAACTGATGTTTTTGCTTTCAGTCCCGAGACTATTAAAGCTTCATCTGACGCAGAACCTAGCTAGCCAGAACCAGCGGGTTTGGGCCCTTCGCTGTGCTAGGGCCGCGCATGTGCCCATGCGTGCGTTTAACTATGGTGTGTCATCTAAGGGCCATCGAGGTCGTGGTTCGGACCGAAACCCTGATGGCCGTCGACTGAGCAATTAGCTAATCGGTGGCTGGAAGCGGTGAGAACCGCCCCGGAACACGAGTGTACCTTGTGTACGCGTTGTTTTGGTCTCGCCGTTCTCGGAGGCGAGGGCGAACTAGTGTGTTTGTTGTTGCACTAAGTGTCGGTGTAGTGTTATCCGGCGGGACCACCGGCGGTGGGCCCAGCGTATCCAAATCCCCGTCCTCGACGGGACGTTTCGACGGTCGATGAGGACGTTTCGCGGGCGAAGCTTGTTGACGTTCGCCGTTGTCTCGGGTTGGTAATTTGCTGCGCTTACGACCAGAGAGTTGGGACGATGTTCGGCTCTATCGAAGAACCGTTTGGTCAGGTCTTTAAAATATTCGCGAATCGTCGGTAGTCTGCAGTCGCTGTGCGGATGAACTTATTTTGTATTATTTGCAACTTGTACAAGCGAGTAGGGTGCGTGTGGGCGAAGGTCATGCATGCGTAGAACATAATAAGTTTCACGCAGGTCTTATATAATAATAATTTGTGCCTTAAGGGCATTTTACTTTTGGCGTTAGTTAAGTTGTGTAGCCGGCCGGAGACGAACGCGTCTCTATTACGAAGGTTATTAATGTGCGTAGTAAATGACATACGCGAATCGAAAGTAACTCCTAAGTATTTGATCTTTTCTCCCAGGGGAGCGGCTGACCATAAAGGGATATTATCCACAAATTTCTGCATTGGCGAGGGCCATTATAAAGATGTGACGGGTAAGTACTTCGTGTTAAGTAAATCGCCACATTGTTTTCGGGACTTACTTCTATTCTCCATTTGCGGAACCAATTGCCGAGGCGGTCGCGGTCGATACATTGTGAACTTTTTCTGGGATTTTGTTGTAAAAAGGTATACATTGTCCCATAAAAGAATTAGTTATTCTACGCAGTTTGGTTGCGGGTAGAATTAATTTATGTTTGTTCCTACCAGGTTTGGCCCAGGTTACAAACCGCTCGAATAGCTCTCTTTTGGAGGACACAGATAGTAATACTATCAGCGGTGTTTCCCCAAAGTAGAATGCCATAAGACGTTATACTGTGGAAATAACTAAAATATACTAAACGAGCAGTATCTATATCAGTCAGCTGTCTTATTTTTTTAACCGCGAAGACTGCTGAGCTAAGTATACTCGCCAGCTTATTAATATGGCATACACCAAGGAATACAATCATGTGAACAGGGTCGAGTGCTTCCCCATGTAATATTACATCCGTTTATACATGTTTCTCTTTCCAGTTGAAAATTTTATACGTTTGGTTTTTTTATTGTTCAATAGTAAATTTTGTTGCTAAGATACGATGTCAGAAGTTTCAGTGCGGCATCTCTTATACCACAGTGGTGTAGTTTCCTGACCCTGTTAGAATGTGTAAATCGAGCTTAAGCTCGATTCACACATTCTAACATTCGATTTGAATCGATCCACGGTGCCCTTAGGGGCACCACAGCTTGGACCGGAATAAGAATCGGATAATGGTCTATTTTTCCACCCCCTAAATTTTATCACCCTAGGCCCAGGCCTACTCGGCCTGTTGGGAAGTCCGCTGCTAAAAGTGCCCATTAAACGAGGGCTTAGCTTCTCTCCCAAGAGATCAAAATGAAGCCATTGGATCTCTTGCCATCGTCATGGAAATTGCTACATGACTCTAATTGTTGGCATCAAAGCCTGCTGAGACCATAAACACTGACACCACAAGGATATTAATGTGGTTGAGTAATCGGTGTCCCCAGATGAATTCTTACAGAAATGTGTAAGATTTTATCCCCCATTTTGAAGTGTTAAGCCAATAACTCGATTCTTTTGATGAGTTGCCTAAAAACGGGCACCCCCTAAATCCACTTTTTTGATTGAACCATAGCTATCTTAATTTTCAACCGACTTCAAAAAACTGTTCTCAATTTGACTGTATTTTTTTTTACATTTGTTACCTCAGAACTATCGACTTAGTGAACCGATTTTGATGATTCTTTTTTTTTATTTGAAAGCTGGTGCTTCGCATGTGGTCTCATATGAATTTAATTGGTATTGGATCTTGGTCGGCGGAGATACTAAGGGAACTCCTGAAATCAATTATAAAATGAATACATAGTGAGATAAATATTTGAAGTCGGTTTATTTTTCGTTAGTAAAAAAGTGGACTTATGATTATTATAAGAATGACTGGCCTCTTGGAATCTTAGTGTGGGACGACCCCCCACTCAGGAGTGACGACCTGTGCAAATGTGCGGGAAGTCGATGGATGCAGGTGGCTCGGGATCGTGCTTCGTGGCAGTCTGTGGGGGACGCCTAAGTTCAGCAGTGGACTCAAACAGGCTGAAGTGATGATGATGAGTAATAATTTTGAATACTGTATACATTTTTAAAATTGTCGTAAAAATCATATTATAACTATATTAGATACAGCAAGGGGGATGCCTATGTTTAACAGTGGATCAGTCTTGCGGCTGATGATGATGATGATAATTTACAGATGTCCTCCAGTGAGCATTCTAGATTATTGGCTAAAGTAACCGTAATATTTAAATTCCATAGATAAGTGTATTTAGTGAGTTACTCAATCGCGATACTTCTTAATATTATATAAATGATTTTAAGTTGTCTAAAATCTGTAAATTGTTTTTTTTTCTTTTCTCGGTCGATTATTTAACTTACAATTAAAAAATACATGTTATGGTGACGTTTTAAAAATAAGAATGTCAAATCTAGAAGTGGGCGATACAAATCGTATCAGATATGAAAACTAGATATTAGTACAATATCCCAATATCGCTTACTGGCTCGTTCAATATCTATGTATTATACAATATCTGATATTTCCGAAATCTGATGTACCGTGCTCGCTCGCTCCATATACCGACACGAATCGCGATACGGCGATATCATACGCGTTTGCCACAATATCTGATTTTTAAACAGATTTCGAGAGACAAAGCGCGTGAGATACAAATACTCACTAGTTAGAGCGGGACGGCAAGCAATGCACGATATCAGATATCGAGCGACAAAGCGCGTGAGATATAAATACTTACTAGTTAGAGTGGGACGGCAAGCAATGCATGATATCAGATAACGAGCGACAAAGCGCGTGAGATATAAATACTTACTAGTTAGAGTGGGACGGCAAGCAATGCACGATATCAGATAACGAGCGACAAAGCGCGTGAGATATGAATACTTACTAGTTAGAGTGGGACGGCAAGTAATGCACGATATCAGATAACGAGCGACAAAGCGCGTGAGATATAAATACTTACTAGTTAGTTAGAGTGGGCCGGCAAGCAATGCACGATATCAGATAACGAGCGACAAAGCGCGTGAGATATAAATACTTACTAGTTAGAGTGGGACGGCAAGCAATGCACGATATCAGATAACGAGCGACAAAGCGCGTGAGATATGAATACTTACTAGTTAGAGTGGGACGGCAAGTAATGCACGATATCAGATAACGAGCGACAAAGCGCGTGAGATATAAATACTTACTAGTTAGAGTGGGACGGCAAGCAATGCACGATATCAGATAACGAGCGACAAAGCGCGTGAGATATAAATACTTACTAGTTAGAGTGGGACGGCAAGCAATGCACGATATCAGATATCGAGCGACAAAGCGCGTGAGATATAAATACTTACTAGTTAGAGTGGGACGGCAAGCAATGCACGATATCAGATTTTTAAACAGATATTATGAATAAGTTAAGTAATTTTGAATCTTAACACCATGCAAATAAGATCCGTTTCATTTAAATACTAATCTTGGTATCAGCGATTACTACAACGATATTATTATATTTTTATTGTTTTGTTTAGCCTTGAGCCGTAACGGGCGACAAAGCGCGCAGTTAAGTAATTTTGAATCTTAACAGCATGGAAAAAAACTCTGTTGCATTTAAATACGAATTACGGTATTAACGATGTCTTTGAAATTTTGTTCAGCCTTGAGCTGGATTGCATTGGTACTTAACACGTATTATTAAGGGATGCCAACTTACTACTTAAGAATTTTCTGCCTAAATTAAGGAAGAAAAATATACAATGGAAATTTTTTAGGAGGTAAATTTTTTGTGAATATTTTTATTAGCTAAATTTTATTCATATTTTTGGAAAAAAAAATAAAAGTACACAAAAAGAAAAATATTATTTAATAGTGCTGTGCTGCTTTGGTGGAAATCAGACCAAGGCTTATGTGCCTTGTGTGTATATTTTAAATTCTTCCGCCCTAAGCTATAATACTGAATGTATTATTTCTTACACAAATAATAGAAATATTGCCACTCGATTGCGTGTTCTAAAAATATGTTAAAGTCAATTATTAAGCGGTATATAAGATGTTAAAATAAATCATTTTTATATTACTTCAATTTATATTTTTAATGAAATTTTTAATTTAATAATTTAAAAAAACGCATTTTTAGTAAGACAGGGTTAATTATTAATGATCGTCGAACAAGAGTTTCGACGAATAAAGTCAGAGAGCTTACGTTCCTAAACGTGAATTTGAACTCGGAGGGATATAAATAATTATAAACCCTGACATAATTGTAAATATATAATGTTAAGTTTTAAATATAAGGAAAATTATGTACATAGAATGAATCAACTTTTAAATACGCCTGCACAATTTTATATTTATAATAAGTATGAAATATTGCAGCAAGTCCTAAGCCTGGAAAAAGTATGAAGGGAAGTTATTTCATTCATCTTATATCCACTCCCTTAAAGTATACATTTTTTTTTTTTTTTTTTTTTTTTTTTTTTTTTTTTTTTTTTTAGAATTCAATTAATCAACGTGGATAGGGAACCGTAAAATATCTAGATATTAAAATACATAGTTTCGAAATCTGATATTTGAAATCGATATCGGATTCAGATACGGTACTCAGAAAACGCGATACGACCCATCCCTAGTCAAATCAAATCTGACACTTTTATGTCTATGAATAAAATAATCATTTTAAATAATTAATTAATATGATTCTATTCTGTATGTAATCATGCTCACATTTAATTTACTTTTGTGATTATTTCATGTAATATTTAGGATGATTTTTTATTTAATTTTATTTAATCTGGAGTGAAATTATATATGGTTGACTATTATAGTCAAGGAGGACATTTAAAAATGTTTTAAACTTGTAAAGCTTTTAAAATATGGAATCTGATAGTAAGGTAATATTGATGCTTTAAATTAGTTAGCCTTAAGATTTTTTGACTTTTGTAAATACGTGCCTAATATATATAATTATATTAAACATATGTTTTGTATAATGTATATTTTGTATATAATGTGCATTATTTCAAACTGATAGATTAGGTTCGTTAGTTGTATATTTGATAAATGTTCAGCACATTAACAAGCGCATATTTCAATTAAATAATAATTTTGGGTTGGGTTTTGAATCAAGTCGCCCGAATTCAAGTACACTGTAAGTTTGGGGAGTTAAGGAGGTTCGTACCAAGCAAAAAATTTAATTAGCTGTATTTTAAAATTTAAAAACCTTAGGAAACATGGAATGTAATTTTGAGAAATTTCAGTGTATTTGAAGATGCGAATAATAAAAAAAAATAAACGATAGAGAAAAATCACTAATGAATTAATCAACAAGCAGAAGACTCCGGTCGCATTCACAAAGAAAGTACGCACATTTTATTATTTTTAATAAAACTGTGTACACAGTACTGCCAACATGATAAATATAGGAAGTGGTAGACTTCATACTTGTACCATTTGTTCAATCAAATTTTTTTTTTTCAATTAAATGAGTTGCCCATCTGACACAGAGCAATCCGACTTGCACAGATTAGATTAGAACATTCGTGATTATTTTTTTTATAACCACCCATTAGTGATTCTGTGGTTAAGTGTGGTTAAGAACAACAGGTATTAGGGGAACCCTCCCCTTCTTTTTAGATTTCTTGACATTCTGAAAATTAAAATTTCTTGAAATTAAAAATTGTATAGTAAAAAAATTATGCGTCTCAGGCGAGGTTGGCAAGTGGAGGGTGACTCACAACATCACCCCCTCCCCCCATCTACCCCCAGACCCTCTATGAAGGCGACTTGTTTCAAAATATTACCCATCATTTTAAAGTATAGAGAATAATCACTAAAGAATTAATCGACAAGATGAATTCTCCGGTTGCTTATAGTTTCTGAGAAAAATTAAATATTAAAAACTTGTTATTTTCATAAGAAAGATTACCATTTTATTACTTTTACTTCAAAAACTTAATTCATAATCCTTCCAATATGATAAATATAGAAAGCAGGCAACATCATACTTGTATTGATTGTTAAATTATTATTTTTTTTAATGGTCACAGAACTCTGACACAGAGCAATTTCACTTTCGTTCAGTTAGGTTAGTAAGGCAGGAGCTCAGCTCTCGTGCCTAAGCCTTTGAGGTAAATTTTTTTTATGAACATTCAGAAATAGGAGTAGAATTAACATATTGACAACAACAAAACAGCGGATTTCTTTAGTGAAAATTACACTATTTCATTTTAGTTTTTTTTTAAACTGTAATTGACATTAGTGATTTTTCTCTGTCGTTTCAAATTTATTTTAATTGTAATATCGGCCTGTCAAGGTCCTGAACATTTACCATACATTTTTTAAATTGAGTGTGGTTAACAATGACAAAGACTTATAATTTTTTTATGAATAAATATCTATATATGAAAAATCAGTGTGCGGCTAATGTATAATAATGTACAAGTACGGCTAATATATAATAATAATATACAATTACCAAAATTGGGATTAATGATCATTATTAAATATAATTTCCAGAGTCAAGATAACTTGAAAAGGTCTCCTTTTCATGATTTGACTAAAGAAGAATTAATATCAAAATGTAAAGGACTACTTGTTATAGCTCAAAAAGCTAAACAAGCAAAGCAAGGTAAGAGAATGTCTGAGAATGATGACACACAATTTGTTAAAGTTGTAAAATAATGTAAATTTAAATCAATAACTAATTTGGAGTTACACTACTAAGAACGCTTTATTTTCTATATTATATCATTCAATAAAATTATGAATATTATAATGGGAATGTAATTAATTTGAAAAGGACTGCAGTTCTGACAAAGGTATTGTTGTTGTTATCTATCACTATCCCACAATCTATGCATTTTTGGTATGCTTTACTGAGATACTATCACACTCAGGTTTGGGTTTTGACATAGTATTTTGTATTCATGTCTAGATTCATGACTTACATTTTGATATGCACATTTTTTTTTAATTATTGTTATAGATTATTCTCTATTGGTGTTCTTCTGTTCTGTAATATTCTATAGTATTTATATGATATTATTTTTAGAAGGAAGTTTCTTTTGTTACATTTTTTTTGTTGTTGTGAAATTTATTATTATTGTTTCATTAAACTATATTCACAATGCTCATACAGAATTGCAGAATGAAAATGAGACTTTAAAAGGTCACTTACAAAAATGTGAAACGGAAAAAATCATATCTGTAGAAAATATTAAAACATTACAAGAACTTGTTGATTCTTTGACTGAACAAAAGCTAAATTATATAACAGAACTAGATACAGCTCAGGCCAAGGTTAGATCATTCAATGAAAAATGGCATACTTACGAAGAAGAAGTTAACAGACTTAGAGCAGACATAATTGTTAAAGAGAAAAATATTGCAGATATTTCGCTAAAGTTATCAGATTTTGATAATGAAATTATATCCCTTAAGAGGCAAAATAATCGTCTCTTGGAAGAAAATGAGCAGCTTATTACTCAGCTGACTGACATGGAAACTAAAACTGCAGAATTCAATAATATAGGTTTACTGCAAAGAGAACAACTACAAATTTTAGAGAAAAAAATTGAAACTGGTGAGTCGCGCTAACTAACTATATAACTAAATAATAAATAAGACTAATTTTAAGATTAATTTTGTGGTCATAAATTTACAAGATTAATAATGATTTTTTAATGTTTCGGTTACACTCCGAAATTTTTACGGAAAATAATTAAAATTGAATTGTGATATAATATATTTTTACAGATGATTCTGCACAACAGAATATCAAGGAGCTTCATAATAAAATCATAGAGTTAGAAAAAGATATTGAAGCTAAAGTCAATGTTTATGAAGAAAAGTTAAATGTTTTAGATAGCAAAGCTAAGGAAATGACAAGTTTGTATGAATTAGAAAAAAATAAAAAGGATAAAGCAAATATAAAATTAAGGAGTTACAAAGATAAGATATCAGCCTCACTTTTAACTGAGGTAAAAGAATCCCGAGCAAAAGTAAAAGAATTCGATAATTTGCTCACTGAATTAGAAAGTACAAAATCTAAAATGCTAAGCTATAAAACAGAAAATACTGAATTATTAAATGAAATGAAAGAAATAAATCAGGTGCTTAAAGAACGTGGTGAAGCAATTTCGAAATTGCAAAAAGCTGTTTCTGAAATGGAAAGGCTGATTGACTCTTTAGAAAAAGATAGAGATGAACTAAAACGGGAAAGAAATGATCTGGTGAAAAGAATTGAAAATTTGGAATTAGACCTCAAAAGTGCAGATCAACTTAGAAGCAAAAATAATGATACTTTGGAAAAAGTTATATTAGAAAGAGATAATGTTATTCGGATGTTATCTGAAAAAGAATCCATAGTTGCAAGTCTGAAAGAAGATTTAGAAAGACTAAAGCAACAAGCAACACCAGGTCTGTGAAAGTAGTATTTGCTTTTATGTGTAAGAAATTCATAAATAATAGACAAACTGTTATTTATCTTTTATTTCAGTGTCTGAATTGCCTAATGATGACATGTCGACATCAACTATTTCTAAAGCTGACGAGCATTCTAGAATGAAGGACTTAGATGAAACATTTGAAGACAAGTATGTTTTTTTTTCTTTTTAAAATAGCCTTTTTTATTTATTAAAACAGCCATTTAATCAATGTAGCATACATTTACAGATATACAAAATTAAGAATTTTTGCTTTGAAACTTAAGAAAAAGTTAAATGAAGTTACAATACAGTTGCAAAATGCAGAACAAGAAAAAATGCAGCTCCAAAAGTTGCTAGATAAAAATGAAATTAGTAACTACAGTAACTCAAGTTCTGTGAATAATATTGATGTTACTGATAACTGCGATAAAGATAAAACCACTGAAAATCATACTGAAGTTGTGGAACTGCAAGAAAAGCTTAAATCATTAACAAATGCTCTTGAAACTTCCGAAAAGTCTGTTGCTAAATTGGGAAGTTTAGAGGGTATGTATTATTTTCTAACATTAACGAGTGTGAGATCAACTGATGTACCTTTAGTAAAATTCTTAACCATGGGTAATTAACCCATGTTATAAATTATACATACATTTAATATTTAAATTATTATGATAGTTTAAATGTTTTGTACTAACCTCTATTTTAGCGGAATTACATATTAAAAACCAACAGTTAATTTCTGAAAAAGAACTACACAAGGCCACTAAAGAGCAATTAGATAAAGCCCTCAAAGATGTAAAGAAGAAAAATGTGCTCAGTCTTGAAATGGAAGATTACGAAAGGTCTATGAAGGAACTCACTGTAAAAATGGAAGAAAATAAGAAAAAGATTGTGCAAGTTAGTCTGAATTATTTAATATTTTGAAATAAATGGGAGTCAATTAAAAACTTGAATAAACATTAAATTAAAAATTTGCATTATGTACGCAAATTCATAGATTTTGTAATAAACAACCCATGTTTTTATTGTGTTATAAAAATTCCTATGATTAAAATACATCAGAACTTTTTTTTTGTCTTTATCTAGATGGAATCTACAATTGACACCCAGGAGGGTACAATTACTGCTATGAAAACACAAATAAAATTACTAGAAGAACAAATCAAAACCGAAGAAACTCAAAATAGGTTATTAAAAGAAGAATTACATCATATCACTGAGGAAGGTAAAGAAAAAGACAATGTAATTAATTCTAAGCAAGATATTATATTAAAATTAATGCAAGATCTTGAAGCTGAGAAAAGGAAAACTGAGGATTCCGAATTGGAGATGACATCATTATTAAGTGAAAAAGAAAAAGTGATTATGGCCTTAGGAGAGGAAAAAACAGAATTGAATAACAAAATGAAGAGATTAGAGTTCAAATTTGCTGATATTAATGAAAAATTGAGGATCACAAATATTGAACTAGCCGATCTTAAGACTGAGTACACTAGTTACAAGGTAAGTAATTTTTACAGTTCATATATGTAAAGTTTGATATACAGATTATAAGAAACAATTGTGTGTTTGTGTAGGTTAGAGCCCAAGCAGTGTTACGACAGAACCAAACCGTTGATCACAGCCAAGAAGAGCAGCTTAAAGAAGAGGCGGCTGCACTCGCGGCTCAATTAGAAAATCTTAAAGTAAAATTAGCAACGTTACAGTAAGTCGGTCGTTTTTTTCATTTCAAAAAGATGGCAACTTGTTTATCAGGTGGTACGTCTGATGTTACCAGAGGATCATTGGACGGTGGAAATTTTTAAAATATATACACGGCTTGTTATATTTTATATATTTTAAAGATTTCGACCACTTGATCGTTAAGTGTCACAGTATTACAGAGTAGGTTTAAATAATACAGCCTAAAACAAAAATGGGAGTGTAGCAGCAGCTGACACCTACATTGAAAAGGAACGTTAATTTAATTTTTACTTAACTACATTACACAAATGATATCCACTGTTTATGTAAATGAAAAGTTCAAACATATTTTTTTTAAGTTCTGCTATTCTGCATTGTATTTTTGCAAGTGCACTAACGCAGCCGTCCGTCTTGCCTCTTAGACAGATTCAGACTAAAAACCAATGTCAGGTTCAGAACAATTATAGTTTCTGCTTGTCGATTTTTATTGTCCCGTCCATTTTCTTTTTTCAGACTTTCACTTCTTTTGTTATGTCTTCATTTATTATAGTGTGTGCAATATTATTTTACTTTCTGAGTAATTCCATTATTTTTTTGTTATGTATCTCTTGCGGTTAGACCCTGAATAAACGTGTTTCTTTCTTTACTACATAGTATAAAACAAAGGGACGCTGACTGTCTGTCCCTATGTATTACATAGATTAGATCTTTAAAAGTACGCAACGCATCTTGATGCGGTGTTTTCTGCTAGATAGAGTGATTCAAGACGAAGGTTTATAATTGGAAGGTTGGGGAAAAAGTTTTTTCGCATTTTATATGAAAATTCAAAACATTTTTTAATAAAGTTTATTAACAGTTAACTAAAGTATGCAGGTGCCATTTTGTTCGATAACTTTCTGCCATCTTGTAGGTAGGGACATGATCCCATTGCTTAGAAATTGAGAGGCTTCTGATCAAAAAACCGCGACATTTGGTTTTGGCAGTCCTATCGTGATGTGATCCTCACAGTACGTAAAGAATTCTGTAGAGATCGAAACAAATGGAAATCTGAAAATGCAAGGTCAGGACTATACGGCGGATGCATTAACACCTCCCAGTCAAACTCTCTTAATTTTTGATGAATGGCTAAAAATGTGTGAAGTCTAGCGTTATGAAGATGAAAAACCACACCCCTTCTGTTGATTAATTTCGGAAGCTTTCTCTCAACTTCTTGCTTTATTCTCATCTGTTGTTCGCAGTAGAGTTCAGAGTCAATGGTCCTGCATGGCGGTAACAGCTCATAATGAATAATGCCCTTCCAATCCCACCATACACACAGCATTACCTTGTTGCGAGATAAACCGGGTTTCGCCAGAGTCTGTGAAGCTTGAAAAGTCTTTGACCACGACCTTTGTCGCACGTTCTTGTCGTACGTGATCCACTTTTCATCACCAGTTATCAGGGTTTTCAAAAATGGTTCGGTTCCATTAGGTTTCTTTCAGTGAGCTCATGAGGCACCCAAATATCGAACTTTTTTGTGTACCCAGCTTTTTTCAAATGCGCCAAAAATGTTTTGTGGTCAATTCGCAGTTATTCAGCTACATCGAAACTACTTATATGCCAATCTTGTTCCACATTTTCAAAAATTTCATCCATTTTATCCGTAACAGAATTTCCGGATTGAAAACGCTTAAACCAAATTTGTCCTACTCTCACAGACACTGTACTAGGTCCATAAATATCACAAATTGTCTTATATATTATTCCTTGCGTGACAGAGAACAATTCGAGGAGCAGCGTATGGAACTGGAGGCGTCCCGAAAGCGCGCAAACGAGGCTACGAGCGAATCCGCGCGCGCCCACCAGCGAACCACTCGCCTGCAGGCAGACCTCACTCGTCTGGCGCAGCAGCTGGAGTCGGAGAGGTCGCAGCACAAGTTGCAGGTACAATTTTTTTTAATGTGAAAAGTCGCCAAGCGAGCAGGCGGTTCACCCGATGTTAAGTGAATACCGCCGCCCATGAACGTCTGCTACACACGAGGAATGCAGATGCGTTGACAACCTTTTGAAAATTGGGCTCCGGCTACCTCACTTACCAGACGAAACGCATAAGTGATATACTTCCACTTTACGCCAGTCTTCTGTGAGTTCGAGGTACTTACCCGGACCCTGCCCATTCGCGCAACAGTAGAGACTGCTGCGTGGCCCTATCACAGTAAAAACATATGTGTCTAAATTATGTATTTACAGTAATCGGAATGAAGAGGACTCGGCAAAAGGGCTAGAGTGTTTACAATCTACGGTCACATTATCTAAGGGTTATTTCTAAAGCACCGGCCACTTTCTTATAAGTAGGTCTTAGTAAATAACTAAAGGCTTTTTTATTCTTAAAATGGCCTAAATCGTTTTTGTTTTAAATTTGAGTGAATCTATAGTTTAACAATCGCGATAATGCTCGCTGTATTAACCTATTATGTTCGGACTTTTTGGGTAGTCTATCCCCTCTGCACCGTTAATTTCTGTCAAACAATATTCCAAACACAAGAAAATTGGTAAACGCATTGTATGCTGACTTCATATGTTAGTAAGTTAAATACGTGCTAAAATTATAGACATAGTTCTGTGAAGTAATGGGAAACTATAAAAGTCAATAACAAAACGTTTAAATTTATGGTTTATAGTCCTACTATAGCCAATTAAGTTATAACCGCATTCATTTAATTTCAGGTTTCAACATTAACTCAGTGCTATAAAGCCCAAATAAGCGAGTTAGAGGCTAAACTACAGAAAGAGACAGAGACACTAAAGGCTCAACTCTCAGCTGCTCAGGATAGTATAAAGGCGGGCAAAGCTGATCGTAATTTAGACAAGTCATATACGCTGCCTGTAATACCTAAGGATGAGAATAGCGACGGCGAAATGGATATTAATGTATCGTTAATACCCAGGGAGGAGGGCGAGGTATGTGGGACTCTCCAGTTCTTTTTTAGTTAGTTAGATATCAAAAAATGTATGTAAGTTTAATCGAATTTAATTCTGAAAAATTAAGAACCGTGATAAAAATGGCGAGAGAAATATTTGGTTTACAAATGGCGCGTAACACGTGATATCTCACTAAACTCCCCACCCCCCGCCCTCTTGTGATATTTTGTGATTTTTGCGTGATCGTGTTTTGTCATGATTTTGATCTATCGCCGTTTCAGGGTTCGGAATCAGCGCCTTCCCCTCCATTATCGAAACCCTATCTGACGAACGTAGGCGGGAGGCGCTCTCCCGTGCCGTTGGAGAGGCTGCTAGAAGAGGGCGTCTCCGAAGACGATGCATTGGAAACGTCGTCTCTCTCCCTCACACCAGAGCAGGAAATAGCCGAGCTGAGACGAAAAGTGCAAGGGCAACAGCAAAGGTTTGATGATGACGACCCTATTGGCGTAGTTGACACTTGATTGCCACTGTCTCTTGCGCCAGAGGGTATGGGTTCGATCCCACTACTGGAAAAATATTGTGTGATTAACATAGTGTTTTTCTAGCGTTTGGGTGTTTATTTAACTATAATATCTATTTATTACAAATGAAAAGTATGTTTAAGTATGTTTATCAATTAATTAGTACAAGCATTGCTTAGTATTAATTAATTGATAAACTACTATATATATTACTAACTACTATATATAGATTCTAACAAGATTTACTTAAAAAATAGAATATAGCCTTATACACTTGCGGAATCGATACAATATAACCCTCTTTTAAGTAGACTTACTATTTTTTCTGTGAGATGGTGTTAAGTGATAACCGCCGTTATCAATTGACATTAGTATCCATTGACATTTGCAACACCAATAGGGTCGCATATGCGTTGGCACCTTTTAATAAAGTGGCCTCACCAGACGAAACGCAGAAATATAACACTTGGCGCTACATGGCGGTCTTTGGTGAGGTTGTGGTACTTCTGCGGCCGGATCTGACCACTCTTGCAACAGCGAAGACTGTTACGTGGCCCTACTGCAGTTAATAAGGCACCGTCCACGAAATATTTCCGATAATCTTATTAATAGTTATTCCACGCGTGCAGTGCGACATTTTATTTTATTATCGAAAAGGCATTGAGTAAATCCACATAATTGTGTATTATGTTCAAACATTGCTGGCCGTAAGCTCGCATATTTTAACCAAAGGAAGATTTCGGAACCTTCTCACACATGCATACATGTAATCGTCACTTATTTAGATATTCATAGTAGAAGAGGTCGCAAACAAAAATTACGAATTTTTGCCTGCTGGACGTAGAGTAATGTCTTGAGAATAAACATTCGGACCCGGAACAATTATCTGTTGAACATAAAATTTTTGTCCTCTGCGTAAATCGCTTTACTTTCGCTGCTCTAACTACACATGAATGGATAGTTACAAACGCTGATATCCCGTTTTGTGATTTTTATTATTTTAGGTTTTGGAGTTAATTACCTACTCGATTTTGCGCTCGACGGTACCTGATTAGTCGCTTCATACGGGCATTTACGTTGTCCACAGTACTGTTAATGTTATATCACACGTATATAATGCACGCCGCATTAGTCACGTGATGTATTCTTAACATTTTTTAACCCCCTCCTCCCCCTTGGTGATACATGGTGAGGTTTAGGACAACCCCCACCCTCCTCCCAAAATCACGTGTATTTTTAGTACCTACAAAGAATCTTAACACTTTTTAGAATATAATCGTTAAATTCGGGTTTAGAGTATAATCTAATTTTATTCTTAAATTAAGGACCTTGATTAAGAATGTAACGGCGAGTCAAGGTTTGCGCGTTTGACGAAAAAATAAATACACGTGATATCTTTCCATACCCCGCCCCCGGCCCCTTGTGTTATTTGCCAAACCCCCTCTCTCCCCTTTCGAGCCCCACGTGACTAATGGACGGCTCATAATGTCGGGGTTTTGTTTAGAGTGAAACACGTGACTCTGCTGCTGGCGGAGTCGGAGCGCGAGTGCGCACGGATGGCGCAGTTGAGCGAGCTGCTCAAGTCCGAGCTGAGGCGGGTGCGCGGCGCAACCGCTCACGCGCACAACACGGAATACATGAAGAACGTCACGTTCAAGGTACAGTTCGAGCGATACATGTGTGGCGGCTTAAGTTTGCCAAAGTGCAGTGTCATGCTTACTGATACGGGTCGCGCTACATGCGGCTGCTGCGCGTACAGTCGAGAACGCGTTTGTTGAGATAGTAGACATGAGGGTGTTTTATTGAGTGATAAATGAATGCTTTTCTTAAGTAACATGTGACTAAGATCACTGATAACAAGGGTTATCGTATATCTCGTTGACAAAACGTTAATTATTGTATTTCGCTGCATAAGTTTCAATTCCGATTCGATCCAGGATCGTCTTAGAGCGAAATGCAACTGCGTCAAGGAAATGTTAAACATATCATAATGTGCTAGTAAGAACTAAACGAATTAACATATCTTTAGTGTTTTTTATACCTAATTATGTATAATTATTTAGTATGTTTAATTATGTAGTCTTATACATAATTATGTGATGTGATCACAACGAAGATGACTTGTTTGTAGTGGTTGTTTAGTTTGTAAATTACTTGAGAAAATTTGTTTTACAAAAAATATTTTATTTGTAGTCGTTATTTTGTCATACTGTAAATAAATATTAAATCGTAAACTATGAAAAACTGATTGTATTTTAACTCCCATACAGTTTCTTACTCTACCACCGGGCGACGAACGAACTCGTCTGATTCCCGTTCTCCAGAAGATTTTGACCCTGTCTCCGGAGGAAACACAAAAGATGCAGGCGATTGCAAGAGGTTATATCTTCATATTTTTCATTATCAAAAATAAACACAAATTGTGTCGACATTGAAATATTAACATTAACATTGCCAACTTGAAACATCGATTTATTGATCCAAAATGTAATTTTATTAAGATCATGATTCCAACATTCATTTAAAAAATATTTATTATTGATTAAGGATACTTAAATAATTATACTTATATTATGATAATACATTTTCTCCTAATAAGCCAAACTTTGTTTTTCGGCATACTTAAAAAAATTACCTTAAACATTTTAGAATGAGCGTAAAATATCCTGCCACGTCAATTATGTTAATAAATTAAATTTTATATTTATGTTTCTTAACCTCTTTTAAAGGCCAATTTTTGAAAATACCTCATGAAATAATTTTAAAGTGTTTGAGGCCTGATATACAAGGTTCATCAGTTACTGCAGGTTTTTTTCCGAAGTTTCCGGAATTACTTAAATTCTGGGCGCGAATCCGGAAGCCGTGGCTTCGATTCCCACAGCGGCGAATATCTTTTCGGCCATTTTTCTACAATGTTTCATCTTAATTGCAGAGATTTACATTTTACCCTTAATTTCATGTTTGTAAATTAAATCCTAGTAGTTTCTCCACCCCTAGTTGAATTCTATCATATAATGTTCCATTACTTTTTTGATCACCGCTGTAACCAAAAGCATGGTAGTCTTAAATCAAAATTATGTACTGAGAGTTAACAAAATCATCATTTCTAATCATAATTCGTTTCAGGCCAAGATCCAAGTTCAACTAAAGGCTGGGGAAGTTATCTGCCATGGCCCGGAAGCAAGTAGTGTTTAAGAATGAACGACGCATGTCACATATAAATAAATATCTAAAACACTTCCTCCTTCATTTTCGTAATCGTTTAGAGATTTTTTGTTACTCGGCTCTTTTTGATTTTTTTGACATTTTATATACATTGTATTATAATTAATTATCTGTTACTTCTACTTCCCACTTTTGCAAGACATGCTTAGAATTAAAAAAAAATGTCACTTATTTTGTTACATTCATGATACACAAAATGTCACTTATTATATACGCGGGTACGGTTTTGTTACATTCCAGAGAATAATTTATGATGTATTTTTACATTTAAGGTATTTAGCGCAGTATTTAAAAGCAATAATGTATTTTTGCAATTTAGCATGCCTTCATCAGAATCAAATGGCTGAAGGAGCGAAATTGCTAAGTAATTTTGTATGACATTTTCGAAAAAAAATTACAATAATTTCAATTCTCAAGTATTGGACATTTTATTATTACAAGTATCCATATAATTCTATATAATATATTGTTATCTTAACATACTGTCTTATTGCTGAGAATTTACATAGATGTAATTTATAGTAAAGTTATATAAACTTAAATATGGTTCATAGAGTACGATAAAAAAATTTTTGGGACATAAGTCTACAGCCATTTTTTTTAATTTCGGCCGAAATCGAAACCGAAGCTTATTTCAAACGTATTAAAAAAAGTTTAACAGCTTAAATTTCTTCGGATATTTTTTAAATAAACAAGGGCAAATCCTTATTATAAAAAGTAGTAGAATTCATAATTCAAAATACTGGAAAAAAGTGTCCTTTTTCAAATTGTATTGTACTTTTATTTAACTATTTTATATTTCTTCATATAATATGCATATAGCCCAAATTAAAAACCTATAATGTTAATATAAATTATCAGTCACAACTTATACACATCCCGAAGTCAGTTTTAGTTTTTCGAACGACCCGCGACAAATTACGAACACCGAGTTTCGACGTAGTCGTGGAAGTTTGTTCGACTTTTAGCTGAAACTGAAACTAGCTTTTTTGGCTGAAACCGTCTGAAATTGAAACTGAAGTAGGTTGGACACTAGTATTTTTCATTTTATTAAAATATTAAATATATATAATATAAGAGATTTATAATAGTCTTTTCTTAGTTTAATTGGTTAAATTCATATTATTTTATTAAATTTATTACTTATAATTATTAATATGTAATATGGCTTAATATGAATATATTTTCTTATTGTAAAAATATACTATTCTTCGGACTTTTATTTGCAATGTGAAACAATTTATATAATGAGAATTTATAATTTCGATGAGTAATAAGAATATATGATTAAAAGGGAGTTTTAATTATAAGATATAAAAATTTTGTGATCAGACTAATAGCAATAAATAAAACTATAAATGCAAAAGGATTAGTTTCATTTCAGGAAATTTCTTCAAATGTATACAGAGAATTAACTGGGAGATTCAACAACGACAAGATATCTACAAAACATTTCATGTTTTAGAGTTCAGTTAAAAACGAAAAAGTCAAATGAAGAATATGTACGTCAAAACAATAACCCTTTTCTATCGCTTATTATACAAAAAAAAATCGTTTCAACAAAGGAAAGACGGAAACAACGCCTTACAAGACAAAAGGTAGATAATATTTATGACACTATCGCGTCGAAACTGAGGCACTCAAATTAATGCAATTGATGTGATTAACAAGGTTGCTATCTTATTCCGTTTAATGATGAAAAGCAGAACAATTTTAAAAACCCACGCAGTATAGACATGCGTATTTTTGTTATAACATCAATGGATGGTAACAAGTTTTCGTCCAATCAATCCGTAGTACTGATCAGAAAGACAAGGGGATAAGAATTATGAATAAGCCATACAATATATTTAAATCTATTAAATTTATGATACGTAAATATCAAAAGCAGATCGGTAATTTTAAATAATTAACTTTTTTTTTATTTCATACTGCTGTGTGTAGCACACACAAATATATTATACATTGCTTTGCTTGCTTATAGCTGTTTCCAATAACCTATGTCCTATCGGTTATCTAGGATTATGGATAGGTCGTTAGCAACGATATTTTTTTGTATTTTATGGCCCAGTATCCAGGACCTGCCAGCTATCCCCAATTAGCAGTAATGTCAATTTCTTTAGATTGGTTTAGCTTAATCTGTGCCATTTATTATCAATGGCGAATAGAAAAGAAAATAAAATTTTTAATTAATTTCGAATATGTATAAGTTTATGAAGTTAATAATTTAATAATATGTTTATATAAGAGTTTAATTTAATAATGTTTTCTATATTTTACATAAATACGTATAAAAATTGCAATAAGTAAATATTTTTGTGCGATAAAGCTGAAGCCTTCTATAAGTTTTGCTTTTTGAATTAATGTTTTATTTTAATTATTAAAATCAGAAATAAATTCATCAACTTATCAAAAAACATTTTTGCTAAGGAAAAATAACCGTCGTCAATATCTTGCTCACTATACGTTTTTTATTTTATTTTGAGGAGTTCCTTGAAATCTAAGGTCTAATATCGATGAAATTAATATGGGACCACATGACAGATATACCCAATCAAATGCAAAAAATGTATTATTTAGTTCATAAATGATGGAGTTTTGCGGTAACAAACATAAAAAAAAATACGTCTAAATTGAGTACCTCCACTTTTTTGAAGTCGGTTGGCAATAGACATGTAATTTCTTCATTTATTCTTCAATTAAGTACGTTAACGCAAGCGAAAACGTTTATTGCATTTTTATATTAGAAAGAGGGATTACAAAAATATTAATATTAGAAAAAATACTTGACAATAACCCATATAATTATTCTCCTTTAGCACAACATTCAGGTGAAATAAAAATTATTATTCAATTTGAAGAACTATCTATGTTCTGTACTAGCCATAAAAGTTCAAGTCCGAAAACTATAAGGTGTACATCCGAATTTCTGCACAACAATTTATCTTAAAATAGCACTAAAGGAAACTTTCCAATTACAATTGTCATTAAGTTACTGTTTATTAATTATTCACTTTTCTACACGTTTCTTTTTTAATGTTTTCATTTAATATTAAATTTTAACTTAAGAGGGCTTGTTTTGATTTTATTGATTGCATTTCCCGGGTGAAGGGACTACAGCGCATGCTTGAAAATTGCTCGGAAAATTCGCGACAGCGGCTGCTAAGGTAAGCTCCTTTATTTTGTTAAATGTTTTAATTAAAGAATTTCTTTTAGAATTGGCAATATAACAATTCTAATAATGGCTTCGATGCCTGACGATGTTCATTCATTTTATTTTGTTATTTCTTTTATTTAAAAGTTGATGCTAGAGAATTTTGTAATTACGCAATTTCTTCTTTGACTTTATTATACACTTAACGCTAGGGCCAATAAATATTATAAGGTTTTCTTGTTAATACTTACAATATAAAATACGATATCATGTTCTTTCAGCTCAATATTGAGTTGCATCATTTATATGATTGACATATGGTAGAGATAATTCTATAATATATATTCTATGTTGTGTAAAGGACATTTCGGTAATAACATTTAAACCCTAGTTAAAGTAAAATTGTTCCGTTATTACAAATATTTCTGCATTTTCTTTATTTGAATTTATCGCATTGGCATATTAATGAATTGTCACTTCTGATCATGACAATGCTCAACTTCCCAAGGCTAAAGCACCCGCATATTGTATACCGACGCTGGATTTATTTGTAGAGATATTGAGATAAAAGAAAAGTACATTATGCGTGCACAAGATGGTGGCATTTGTTCATGCCGGTAATCCCATGTGTGTTGTCAGCGCACATGCCATGTCGCTTAGTGCTAAATATCTAATTCTGAAACGTCTTCGCTATTGTATATATTTAATCGTAGACATTATCTAAGTTTAGAATGAATGCACTCACAGTGGGCAATGCGTTATACTGATCGTGTGATACCGTAACGTGTTTAGTTAAGAAAATAACTAAAGTAAAGGTGTTGAAATTTTCGTCTACAACTGATCATTTGTCCGATAAAAGACGCTATACGTTTATGTGCGGTCCACGTAAGCTCTAAATTGCATCCAACCCTTGCCACGCTCTATATATACTGATCGTGTGATACCGTAACGTGTTTAGTTAAGAAGATAATAACTAAATTAAAGGTGTTGAAATTTTCGCCTATAACTGATCTGGTCAGTTGTCCGATAAAAGACGCTATTCGTTAATGTCGCGATCCACGTAAGCTATAAATTGCATCCAACGCTTGCCACGTTATGTGAGCGAACTTAGACTGAGATATATGGATTATTATGTATATTTGGTTGGATGCTGGCTGTATCGACCTTCCGGGCGTCCTGTGCGCACGCTCGGAGCTGAGCGAACGCGTCCCAGAATTTTGCTACGATAGGCAGTCGTATTACCTACTTGGTGTGCATTGCATTCGGCGCTTCTACTCGTGGTGAGTAGTTACCTCGACTGATTTATTGATTTTCCTCCGATTGCTTGTGCGGCCGATGGGCGTATTTCTAACGACCGTATACCGCCTCGGTTTCGATTTCGGAAGAAAGTCGGCAGATCTTCGTGCGGTGTTATTGTTTTTGAGATATTTGAAGAGGCAGCTGAAATGATAAATCACGTTTTGCATAGTTCTAATGGCCGGACCCCGCGTGCGCATAACTTCTTCTCGTTTTATTGATTGCGGATACCTTTGTCAGCACTTAATGAAAGACATTACATTTCATCGGTACAAAGTTTTAATTAAAGATTGTTTAGCTAGACTAATAATCGGTGCAGATCGTTTGTGGTAAATAAAAATCGTGGTGATTCTCAAACTTTAAAACATAAATCTGTTCATGTTCATGGACATAACTATTTCGATAGCACTTTCCGTGGTATCAACTCGTAATCTTATTAAATACTTTTAAGGAAAATTTACTGTTTGGGAAAATGACGTCGCCATTTTTTTAAATGTTGAGTTAACAGCCTTAATAGCTCAGTGTCAGGGCGCTCGCCTTTAATTCAATATATTCGAGCAACCTGAGTTCGATCCCCAGTGCCGGCACCAATGAAATTGTTAATTTTAAGTGCTGAATTGAATTTATTTGCTCAACGGTGACTGAAAACATCGTGGGGAAACCTGCATATTTTCGAAATAATAAAATTGCGCTTAACTAAAGGAAAATATTTAATGCCACGTCATTTTAATTAAAACCTTTTTTGTTTGTCAGGTTTGTTTGAATCTCCTCTGATCAACGTTTGCGGTTGCAATGGGTAAGGAAAAGACTCATATCAACATCGTGGTGATCGGCCACGTCGACTCTGGGAAGTCGACCACGACCGGACACCTCATCTACAAGTGCGGCGGCATCGACAAGCGCACCATCGAAAAGTTCGAGAAGGAGGCGCAGGAGATGGGCAAGGGCTCCTTCAAGTACGCCTGGGTAAGTGAACCTCTACCACCGGACCAAAGTAGCGGCACGTGTAAGAGGAAGTCCAATCCCCGCTGCCGGCACCAACGAAATTGTTAATTTTAAGTGCGGACTCATCGTGAGGAAACCTGCATAATTTCGAAATAATAACAAAAAACAAAAATTTCCAAGATTTGTCAAATCCACCAATCCGCAGTGAGGTCGCGTGGTGGACTATGCCTGGAGTCTGCCCAGGTTTGGAATCTTGCCTTAATACTGTACTAAAAATTTGACATACTTTTCTTAAATTTTAAGTAACCTTAAGCAGTAGGATCAAGAAGTGTGAACTTTTGCACAGGATTCTGAGGCTGATTTCTGAGTGCTCCTCCTCCGATTGGTTCCGTCAGGTGCTGGACAAGTTGAAGGCGGAACGCGAACGCGGCATCACCATCGACATAGCCCTGTGGAAGTTCGAGACTGCGAAGTACTACGTGACCATCATCGACGCACCCGGCCATAGGGACTTCATCAAGAACATGATCACCGGCACCTCGCAGGTTAGTGGGATGAGCTGCAATAAAGAAAGTTTTGAAACCGCGCAACTTGTTTCCTTTCCCACTGTCCCCATTGTCGACATCATTTGTGCATGTAATCGATGACTAAAAATTAATAAAATTACAGTTGTCCCGTTCAGGTGGTTTTGTAAATTTACGCAAATGGATTGCGAAAGAGTTTGCGAACATTTGAACTTTTAGGGCTACTTTCGATACAAAATAGAACAATGTAAAGCCCGACCCCGTAAAGGGCATTGTCTTAAGTTCAATTGGAAAAGTAAGCTTCGATAATTTTAAAGTTACTTGACGCTTTAAAAGGGATTCCATGTACCTACTTATGGCGAAGTATTTTTTCAGTTAGCATCGTGTTTTCATATTAAAGTAATTTCGGTGTTCTATAAATTTCTTCAATTTGTTTATATTTAAATATTAAGAGGTTATTAGATTCATTGTCTCCAAACTAATTTAATTTTCTTCATTATTTAAAATTGATGGTAAAAAGTAATGACAACGACAGTGACTATTGTACTTATTTGTTACGTAGTACGTTTAATTTAGTACGTTTGTACTTAGTTGTTATCATCATTGGTTCTACATTATAACAACATTGTAACACATTATAACAATAAAGCAGCACAGGAGTATTTAATCTCGGTATGAACCGGCAAAAAACTAAATTAAGTAAAGAGGATTTCGAAATTTTATTGTGTGATCTAGAGATAAGCAAATAAAACAGACGTAGGTTCGTAGTAGTCCAAAATAAGCTCTAAGGCGTTTAAATAGTTAATTTTTTCTCCTTCCTCCTTTTCAGCTCTGTAGAATTTTATTCAGGTCAAGTTCCAACATAATCCATTTTTTAAACCAAAATACGTTCTATTCCACATAGTTATTTTGGGATCGCTTCTTAAGGAAATCACACTATCGAAGAACTTCGGAAACCGTAGCAATGCGCCATTTGCCTTATTATTACACGCCAATCAATATTCTTTGTCTTTAGAATTAGAATAACTGGTCTTTAATGTTTTATGTTACATCAAAATATTTTGGTATTCCGTTTTGCACGACTTTACATTATTACACATAAAATGGAACAGAATTCAAATGTCTCCTACCTAGGCAGCTAATTAGCAAACGACCAAAAAAACCAACTGTTTCGAATGTTAAACATATCTTTGTCTTCTCAGGTTAATACATAATGATAATCATAAATTTTCGTCGACTGGTGAAGGCCACCAAACCGCTTGTTCAGTTGTTATTCAATGCAAATAGCTCGCTAGAAAGGCGGAATAGGTAGGACGGATTAAATTAACCTTTAAATTTTAAATTTTATCATCATGTATAGGTACATACGTGGTTGGTCAACGCTGAAGAGAAGACTGCAGGCGTGATTTTAGGTGACAAATGACAGTATTGACACGTCGACGGAGACTGAGACGGTGTGACCGCAACATACGGGGTTAAAAGTGGATGAAGGGAAACAATGTGATGGTAAAGGGATTGTCTCGTCCCTCAGGCGGATTGCGCCGTGCTGATTGTTGCCGCCGGAACTGGTGAGTTCGAGGCGGGCATCAGCAAGAACGGGCAGACCCGCGAGCACGCATTGCTCGCCTTCACGCTCGGCGTAAAGCAACTGATCGTTGGCGTGAACAAGATGGACTCCACCGAGCCGCCGTACCACGAGGCGCGCTACGAGGAGATCAAGAAGGAGGTATCCTCCTACATCAAGAAGATCGGTGAGCGATGATAGCGGCCGCCGTTTGACCTATTGCGTGTTTGGAAATTGGACCTCGTTTGTTTAGGCGCGGTTCTTAAGGCTCGTAAGGTCGTACATAGGTCCGCGGCGCGAATTTTGGGTGCTTTCCTTGATTGCGCAGTCGAAATTTAGGTTCGATTAGCGAGGTAGCCGGGTGAGTATGACGCGATCGGTGCGTTAGTGCATCAGACAATGATTGAGTATTTAGTACTATGTTGACATTCGCAGCGGTCACTGGTACAGTATTGATCCACACCACTCCGAGTAGGGGACTTTTTAGCCTAGCGCTCAAGAACCGTGCCGCGATCTATACCTCATAAACCAACATTTTTCTTGTTAATCATCAGAGATGAGATGTTGAATCCTCGAGATATTACATGTAAGTTCTAAACAGTCCGAAATTACTGGATCCGCACCTGTTTGTTAATAAAGTTTAACTTGGATTTTCACCATTCAGTTTTGCTATACGACTGGAATCATGTATAACATGTATACAATCGTGTATTGATATCAAGAGACTGTTGTTAAGTCTTTAAAATTCGAACTTTAATTTAGGATTTGTAGTTACGTGTTCCCAATTAACATGCAACGAATCGTCTAGAAGGCAAAACTGTCGTTGGCAGGTTATAACCCGGCCACGGTGGCCTTCGTGCCGATATCGGGCTGGCACGGCGACAACATGCTGGAGCCGTCGGACAAGATGCCCTGGTTCAAGGGGTGGACCATCGACCGCAAGGATGGCAAGGTCGAGGGCAAGTGCCTCATCGAGGTGGGTTGCGAGGATATTAAATTAAAATATATTAGGCCCTTACCGATGAAATTGCAGTTTTATGTAGAAACAAGAACGTTTTTTTTTGGCTGGTACCGCCGATGCTATTGTACTCAATGGAAGTTCATTGATGCTTCCGTCATTAAAATTCGACAATTTCGTAGGTAACCCTTAATTTGCAGAGGTGGTTGCCGTTAAAGGACCGTTGCTTATATCTATAGCCGCTGATCGCACTATCATATGCCCCCAACATTTTTGTCGGTATCGTTTCGATCCAAGGATTCTATGGGGCTTTAACTGTCACCGCGACGTATGCACAGTGGTTAGGATGCGTAACTATCGGAATAGTTATGTTGTTTAGAATGTTATTCTTTGCTCATGCAAGAATTAAATACGCCACTGAAACTCGTCAAAGTTATTTCACAGTATTTTTTTATAAACATCTTATTAACTTAAATTCTATGTGCACAGATACTTATATTTACCTCTCGTCGGTGTACGATTTTATTCGGTCTTGGTGTTTAAATATTTCTTCAGATGCTTCGCAACGTGACTGCGACTCGATTGTGTTTGCACTCTACGGTACATGAATGGGAACTGGCGATTTATCAAGCGACCTAAAATAAGTAGGTTCTCAATTCGGCTCGCAATTTTGTTTAATACCTCGGCACTCAGTCCTTTATGAACCGATTTAATTATTTTTTATAATGTCTTTCGGTTTAGCTCGCTAGCTTTATTTCTTAGTATTATATTTTGATTAATTCCGAAATCCTTTGATTCCGGAGATGCATCAGGAAACACCTCAAAACGAAATAGAATGTGTAGTGAGTGAGACATCCGAGGTCGGTTTTGGTTTTTGTTAGTAACAAGTACATTTTGACAACAGACTTCAAATATCTCACTCACGTGCACAGGACATCGACATAAAAGAAACCGAATGGAGAGAATCTTTCAGAAAAAATATGTTTGTTGTTTTTTTAAAAACTACTCAAAATTAAAAGCTCCAACCGATTTCGATAAAATGGGATCACCTGGGAAGCCTTTAAAACAAAAATAATTTTCCAAAGCGGTGCCTTCTAGTAATCGGTGCACATACAAAAAAAAGATTCCGACGAATTGAGGTCCTCCTCCCAGTGGCGGATTTACCCGCAGGCTAAGTAGGCTAGAGCCTAGGGCGGCAGATTTTAGGGGCCGGCAAATTTGGCCCAAAATCCTCACTATATCGTGGTTTATAAACGTAATCTAGAAACTCAACCCTAGTTCAAAATCGTGCTAATATCGTGAAAAACTGATGTAATGAAGACGATAGAGTACCAATCAAAAAGTTGCAATTTTATTCAGTGAATAAATGCAACTAATATTACCAACCAGGGTATCGAATTTTAGAGTTCAATAGGGGCGGCAAAAATTGAACAGCCTATTCGCGGCTAATTTGAAAATCCGCCACTGCCTCCTCCTTTTCTGAAGTCTCCAAAAAATTCTCTCACGCTTGTCAAGTTGCGCGATCGACACGTCGTGGTATTTGTGCACAGATATATTAGACAAAATTATCGTTACAAATTTACATCGGTAAATGATAACCCATAACTCATAACTCGTGGCTCTGGGGTGGGGGCATGTTTGTATGGGATTTATGAGGGCATGTTTGTATGGGATTTGGGGCAAGCTTTTCCGATTGCATGGAGTGAGTTTCGGCCGTAGGCGCTGGACGCGATCCAGCCTCCCTCTCGGCCCACCGAGAAGCCGCTGCGTCTGCCGCTGCAGGACGTGTACAAGATCGGCGGCATCGGTACGGTGCCCGTGGGCAGGGTCGAGACCGGCATCCTGAAGCCCGGTACGTCGGACTAATCCCTTTTTTTTTTTAACGTGGGCGAAGCTAAAACCCCCACGATGTTCCACCGAGGCGCATATATCGGCAGACGGTATTGTGTGAGGTCGTGGTATTTCGTGCGGCAACGAACTGTTGTCTGGACCCACAATTAAATTATTCACAACTCCAACGCCCTGCTTCTGAAACACTGATCATCGTAGAATTCAACTAACCAGCTTCCGAATGGATTTTCAAATGTTATTTTGAGTTGCCAAAAGGATTGTATGTGCCATAGTAATGTAACTTTTATGGTCATAATGTATCAATTCTTAGTCAATTGAAATGAAAATCTCTTAAGACGATGATCTGAGATGAGAATATAAAACCTATTGTATCGGTTTAAAACGTTTAATATACCAAATTTAACGATTGACAGAAAGATTTCGTAAACTCACTAATAAGATGTGGTGTGTGGAACCCTATCGAATAAACCGGCATTACATTGCATTTTTTAAAGAACTCAAGCGGGTCAAATCTCATCGGTAATTAGTTTAAAACCATTTACAAAGGCGACCAATTAAAACGGCGGTAAAATTGGTCAATGACCATACACTTGAAGTCTCAGAGGCTTGCTTGACGCTATTTCATATGCAGGAATGGTGGTGGTGTTCGCCCCCGCGGCCATAACCACCGAGGTGAAGTCCGTGGAGATGCACCACGAGGCGCTGCAGGAGGCCATGCCAGGAGACAACGTGGGCTTCAACGTGAAGGTACCGTTTACAGTCCGCCTAAGACATCACTACACTTCAGGGTCAGATTTAGTGGTCTGGAGGCCTCGGGGCAACAAAGGAGTCCACAAAGGAAGCCCTTTGGCCCCAAATTATTTTCTATTGATTTCTATTATTGATTACTAATATTTAATGTATTCATGTTTGTACAAAGTACTGTAGGTAAAAGTAAAACGAGAAAAAAAAATATGAAGTGAAAAGTTGTTTTCTAATCTGAATTTGATTTTTTTCCGAGGTCTCTATTGTGGAGGAATCCCTCGTTTGTGGAGGGCCTAAATCCGGCCCTGCTTCACTTATAGCTATTTTTCGGAAACTGAAACTACCCAAATTATATAAGCGCAGGCGAAAGGCGGTTCTACCGTCTGCGGGAAACTTTACCCGAAGTAGCACTGGATGAACAGAACACATTTGTAAACCTTACACATCCGCACTTAAACAACAAGAAACAGATAAAAGTTGTCTTATCGCCCGCAAGCACGGGCGATTGAGAATTTGCCAGAAACTGCAAGCGTATAGCGCTTAATCTCCATACTTTGTAAACAGGGCCTTACAGCGCTGGTGGTCTACGCGAGTAATTTCTATGACGCTATTTATACTATTTAAAAGTGTTTAGGATACAAAGGCTTAAATGGTTTTCTCGTCGCACAGAACGTGTCGGTGAAGGAGCTGCGTCGCGGCTACGTGGCCGGGGACTCTAAGAACTCGCCACCCAAGGGGGCCTCCGATTTCACCGCTCAGGTTTGTTACTAATGTTATTTGTATCGTTCACATTTTGCATATAAAGTGTCGGCGATAAAATGTTTTCCAATCGGAAAGTTTGATTCTTTCCCGATATCGTATCGTTCGATAATTGTATCGGTAATTGTTATCGATGATCTCATCGCATCTGGATAGCGTTTGGTGCAATAAACAGTTTTCGCAACGGTTCAAATTTTTTCGGATGAATTCCCGGCCGCTTTAAGGAATTCCCGTCCTTTTGTCGCCGGACTGTCTCTGACCGCGAGGCGCGTTTACTAGGTGATCGTGCTGAACCACCCGGGCCAAATCAGCAACGGCTACACGCCGGTGCTGGACTGCCACACCGCCCACATCGCCTGCAAGTTTGCCGAGATCAAGGAGAAGTGCGACCGCCGTACCGGTGCGTGTGCCCACCAACATTTCATTGAATTGCACAACTGCATTTACCTACACTACACTGCAGCACCAAAGTACAACAAGTTACACTAATGCATCACATTACACATTTTCACTTAACTACACAACTGTACCAAAGTAAGCCCCGGCCTCTTATCTACTACATCAAATTACATCACTGCACCACATTACACAACTGAACTAAACTACACTACTGCACTAAATTAAACTACACTACTGCACTAAATTAAACTACGGCCCCTATATTACTACAGCAAAATACAACACTGCATCACGTTACAAACGATTCACTAAACTACACTACTGCACCATTCAACCATGGCTCCGATACTGCTACACCAAATTACACCACTGCCGCACCAAAGTACGACACCGACAAACAACGTCATCAAATTACATCACCGATTTAAATAACACCATTTCGCTCAACTGTCCTCACTGCAGCATAGTGCACCATTGCACCAAAGTACATTACTATACCTACGCGCATATGCATTTGCATAATTATGTATTACTATATGAAACATGATATGTGGTATATAGGCTTTAGCTCGAGTACAAATCAAATTATCGTTGAATAGAACCACCAAAATATTTCGAAATACAAGGGGGAAATACTACGGCTTATCGTGAAGAAGTGCGGCGTGACGTGAGGGAATCTATCTTTCGCGTCTAATTTGGTGAGTGAGGTGACAGGGGTCCACATTTTTAAAGGTTGGCAAGGCAACATTTTTTTTATATTAAATGCTAACAAATTTTCAAACTGCATTCTATTGCAAATTTCACTCATGCTAAAAATATTTATGAATGTGTATGAATGATGCGCGAAAATATATAGCGAACACAAATATTTTTTTTATATTCAAGACCTTAATATTATATACAATTCCCAGTTTTGTTTATATTACCGCGTTATGTAAAAGATATATTGATTCAATTCAAAAGTACGTAAACACAGTTGACACGACTTATTACTTTCAAACCAGTAATGAAAATGAGGGCGCAAATGCGCATTTGTCACGCCTCTATGGGCATTTTGTAATGTTAACTACAATTGATTCACAAGTGTTGGTAACTCCTAAGAAACAACACTCGCTTAAAAGTGTAGAATTCTCTCTGGTTTCCGTCTTCTTTACAAAACAAGACATACGACTTGGTTAGACATCAATGGTTAAATTGAATAAGACACCATCGATCAATAAATAAAGATGTTATAATAATATAATGTAAATTCAGCTTCATAGAAACAACTTATTAACAAGTTTGGATAAACGAGCGCAAAGTTATTATAATTTTAGTATAGTCCAAATTCATTTGAAAAATTCAATCACTGGAGTGAATAGTGTACGTTTGCAAAATTAACAAGAAAGTTAAATAAAATTAAATTCAAAGAGAAATCTAAAGACCTGACCTTGACATTAGTTAAAACTGAAAATGTGATTCCATGTCGTTAGCACATCAATAATCCTTAGCAAATCAGTACTGCCACTTAAAATATACGACATTACCAAATATATCTATTCACTAAATTATATAGTACGCGCCTCTGCAGTTCGTTCTACTTGCGATATGGGATTGAATGTATATTATGATATATCCATCTCGTTGCCGCTGTCAACTAAATTGCTATAGTCTTGCTCCCACTGATGTAGCAGCTGGGCAGTTTTAGAACGTTAACTTGATTTTCGCACACGTACAAGTACAAGCGCCGCGAGCAATCAGCTTCGCTTAGCCGCATCTTAGCTTTGCGGAGCCTGTAAAACGATTAGGCGTTAGAGCGTATCGACGATCTGGTGACTGGGAATGTGCCGAGACTAAATGCTAACTCTGCAGGCAAGACCACCGAGGTGGAGCCGAAGTCCATCAAGTCTGGCGACGCGGCCATCGTGACTCTGGTGCCGACCAAGGCGCTCTGCGTCGAGTCGTTCTCAGAGTTTCCGCCGCTGGGGCGCTTCGCCGTGCGCGACATGCGTCAGACGGTCGCCGTCGGCGTCATCAAGGTGACTGATGAATGTCTATATATATATATATCTCTCTCTCTCTCTCTCTCTCTCTCCTGTGCAATGATTGATATTCCTGGTCTTGCACTTCCACTTCTCTCTGTCAGACTTTAAATACAGTGTGGCTTTTCTAAAGGTGCCCAAATTCACACATTCAACTTCCGAAATCTTGTGACCTTATACACTTAGAACTTTCTCTATGACGCCATTAAAACCGATTTTCGCCTTCGCAGAGTGTGACGTTCAAGGAGGTGACTACGGGTAAAATCACCAAAGCCGCCGAGAAGGCGCAAAAGAAGAAATAACTATGGGGCACATATATAATCATTACAGTGCTGCCGGTAGCGATCGCCCGCATTATAGCGCCACCATCCAATCCCCCCTCCCCCGCCCCGTTTCTTCCCCTGCCCCCTCCCCCCTCGGCCCCTAGTCCCCGTGTACCCCCGGATGGGGGGCGCCCGCGAGGCGATCCTTCCGACGCACCGGTCATCACCAAGCCCCCACCATTGATGTCGTGTCCCCATGTCTCCCACAATCATAGCTTCTTCACTGGTGACATCACCCCTGTCCCCATTACGTGCATTTATCGTAGCGAGATATGTTTAAAGTTAATTCGTTTTAGTTACGCTTACGTGTTAAGTTTATTTATTTGTGATTATTATTTTAGTCGTAAGTCACTCGCCAGTTTTGAGTTCCCGCACTCGAAGGCTCGTTGCGTTTTATTTTTCCACCGCAAAGAGTTTAGGAGGAAAAGCAACGGCGCGACGATTGGATTTTTAAACCGTTTCACTACGTCGTGTTTCTTCGTATAAGACTAACTTCGATTGAAATTCAGACTGTATGTATGTATGATTATTGAAATTCTTTCCTCTTAGATTACTTTCCTCCGTTTGTTATTTGTATCCATTTTCCAATTTTATTCTTCCGAGTTAATTCCGTGTATTACATTTCATGTTTTCTTTCATTTTAAAGGCTCATATGATAATTTTAAGGGCGTTATTTTCTTACGGTAGAGGATATGTAGGGTTTTAAGAGTAAAGCAAAACATCAGAGTGTAGAATGATGGAGGGACGGTTGAGAACCGGAACCCTATAGTTAAATAGTGGTACGTTTTTAAAGCGTTTAACGTAAAACGTTTTGATAAAAATTTGACAACTTTAAAGAGTAGGCAACGTGATTATTGCTTCCTATTTTGTTTCATCGTGGAACTAAAATTGTTTGGCGTTGGAATTCTATCTTGTGTAAAGGTTTAAACATTCAATTGATAATAGGCCGATTTTGGTGGTTTTATATTATACATTTCAAATAGGTATGAAGAAACTCGAAACTCATTTTAAGCTAAATGTATCTTTGTAATTTTTTCAATGATTTTGTAAAGACCTTAATCCTGATAAAACCAATAAAGAAGCTACTGGTAAATGCAAGTTTCATTTGTATCTCATTAATTTCCTTTCTTTCTGTAGTAAACTTCCGATGGTTCTGGTAACTGGACTACGGTTGAAAGTTCTCGCAATAATACAGATGTCAATCTATTGAATTGCGTGTATACTTTATTCAGGAGAACCATCACACTGCGATCTGTTATTAAGCTTTAAAGCTAATCCACAATGAAAACAAGTTTGTAAAACACTTGACAAGCAGAACGTAATGACTTCTCACTCAAATCAGTTTTTTATATTCTCAAGGATATTTACAAATGAAGATCTAGATAAGGCTCTCCATAAACTTCCAAGAAGACTAGAACAAGTCAGGTATTCACGGTGTAACCTCAGGTATAGAAGTTTCTTATTCTCCACTCCATGGAGGTGGTGAGTAATATTGGTGATACAGAACATTTGTATATAGCATACATTGTGTAGGTCACAGAATATAAGGTCACAAATATAGGCTTTAAACTTCCGCAGAGCAGTTAGTAAACTTGCGTGGCCCTTCCACAGTAAAATAACTAATTTACTATAATTCATACTAATATTATAAATGCGAAAGTTACTCTGACTGTATGTCTCCCTTTCACGACAAAACCACTGAATCGATTTAAATGAAATTTGATACACAGATAGTTTAGAACCTGAGAAAGGTCATAGGCTATTTTAACGAAAGATATTTATTTAAGAGCTTCAACGCGAGCGAAGCCGCGGGCGAAAAGCTAGTAATTATTATAAACTAAATTACAATTTCAAGACGAACCGTGCCAAGTCGTTCAAAATGCTTTCGGAGCTATTTCTAACATGGAACATCAAAGTAGATATTCTTTTTACGATAATGGCATAAAAGGCATCAGTGTGGGCCTCTGCGATCATATAAAGAAGCACTACATGTAAATACCTAAAATTATCTTAACTGCATATATGCTTAACTGGGTTGAAGGATTTCTGTGTGAATTTCATTGAAATGTTACATGTATAAAAGGAATGACAATATGCTTTGAAATGTTAATTATATTTTAACTGCGTGCAAACCTACAGCCCAAAATATTGCTCATCAAAGTTAACTCCGTTGACTCCTCGATATTGGCGTTATCTGAGATGTTCTTTGTGACCTAATGACCTAGATACTTACATTTTATACATATTTGCCAGTACCATAGCCATAGCCATTTCTTTACAAACTTTCTAATAAAGTACCGATCTAAGCAGTAACAAATTAACACACACAATAACTTACTCTTTATGCTCAGTACAGTTAACATTAATTCTACCTGCTGAGAATTAGGCTTTGTCAAAATGAATGGAATTACAAAAAACTATCTTGTTTACTTAGTCTTATTACAAAGAACTATACTATCCAATTTAATTAGATAATCAAATCTATTTAGTGGAATGTGCCCGGAATGAAATCTGAACGCTGTCATAATATCAGCCATGTCTTATTTTACTCCAGCAAACTGTCGTGTTGGTGGGTTAGTAAAAATACCAACAACTGAATATCCAGTAGCCAACCAGCTCGCTCAGTTACTTATTCAACTTATTCACATACAAATGAAAGAGAAGAGGAGATAACATCCACCTAGTCTTACGTGTACAGTTGGTTTTTTATGTTATAAGTTGCCAAGGGAGCAGACGGTTCACTTGATGTTAAGTGAATACTGCTGCCCATGGACATCTGCTACACTCGAGGGTTCCAGATGCGACAACCTTTTGAAAATTGGGCTCCTACCTCCTATCTCCTATCTCCTATCTCCTACCTCCTACCTCACTCACCAGACGAAACACGAAAGTATTATTCTCCCACTTTACGCCAGACTTCTGTGAGGTCATGGTACTTACCCGGACGAGCCTGCCCATTCGTGCAACAGCCGAGGCTGCTACGTGGCCCTCCCATGTATAATACATACAATATTAATTTAATTACAACACCAATAGTCAAAAATGTTACAATGTCAAGGTGCTAGCAAAATTTTTGTCAAAGAAAGTCATAGAATACCAAATCGGTTGCAGTCGCCAAGCTTTAGTAGAAAGCATATATACTACAGTTTTCGTATTGGTTTAGTACTGTACAGTTTTCTTGAAGGATCTTCCCGGCCTAAAACAAACTGAGCAGACGAACCAGTATCTTAGCCACTATGGTATCGTAGCAAGAGAAATAGGCCTAAAACATTTTTTTTGATTAATATACTTTTACGTAATTTAATACGGTAATTTCTTGGTTTCGTAAACTAATTATTTAAGTTTTGGGAGCCGGCAGGAGGGAATAATTAAGATGCAGTACAAAGAACAAGCCGTGTTGAGAAAAACATCATCTTTTATTGTCACTCGTTGCTATAGAAATTTGTCAATAATAGGGTAATGCTAGACCGATGAGAGTAAGGGTGTAAAAGATAAGAGCGGTGCTACACAGTAGCAAATGAGTCGCCACATCACCCCCCTACGGAGAAAAATAAGTACACATTGAAGGCAAAACAAGTATAAAATGTAACAATCAAATAATTATACACTGTTATTATAAAAGTACAAGCAACATTATTTAGGATAATTTTTAACTAATGGAATTTTAATTTATACAACGAAAAAATAAACATTGGAAACTTAAAATTGAAAAAAAACTCTGCTTTAACAAAAATAACGTATTAAAAACTAGTACTTATAAATCTAAAATATCTTTAAATTTAACTTTGCGACCTGACCGGGTTGTTACAGGCTGTGCGGGCGTTTTAATGGGCACGGCCGTTTGGCTAATAGGAGGTGAAAGAGTCGGAAGGACTGGGAGCTCCGGTGCCAAGTTGTTAGGGGACGGATTGCCGTCTGGGTCAGGTGCAATATACGCAGGTTTTGTTCTGTCGATGCTAACCTCAGATCTTCGGCCAGAAATGTCTAAGGTAAGTGTCTTTTCAGATCTCTTCAACACTCTGTAGGGGCCTGTATAAGGTGGCTGTAGAGGGCGTCGAACGGAATCTTCGCGGAGGAACACGTGAGTAGCATCAGGTAAGTCCTTGAAAACGAAAGTTTTAGAATTCGTGTGACGTGACGCTGGAACGGGGCGAAGTTCTGCCATCCGTTTTCGCAACTGTGCAACAAAATCATCGTCCACGGTCTGAGGGGAATTGCTAGCCACCAGGAACTCGCCTGGTAGGCGTAGCGGTTCCCCATATAAAACTTCTGCAGCTGACGTTTTGATGTAATTTTTTAGTGCCGCCCTGATTCCGAGAAGAACGAAAGGTAGGGCATGGTACCAAGAACTCTTGTGACACATTAAAGCGGCCTTTAAATGGCGGTGGAAACGCTCTATCATCCCATTAGCTTGGGGATGATAGCTCGTAGTACGAACGCGTTTTGTGGCTACTAAATCCATCAGTCTGTTGAAAAGTTGGGACTCAAATTGACGTCCCTGGTCCGTTGTGACAGTGATCGGTACACCAAAGCGAGCGATCCAGCCATGGGTGAATTGATCAGCGACTTCTACTGCGGTTATCGACGACATGGGCCAAACTTCGGGCCAGCGTGAGAAACGGTCTACTGCTGTTAGGCAATAAGTGAATCCGTTTGAAGAAGGCATCGGTCCAATAATGTCCAGGTGAACATGACGGAGTCTGCCTGAAGGTGTGCTAATGTTGCCAAGCGGTGAAACGACATGGCGCGTTACCTTGCTGCTCTGGCAGGCGAGACACTCGCGTGCCCAGGAGCGGCAGTCTTTAGCAATGCCTGGCCAAACATAGCGGTCGCTAATGAGGCGCGCGGAAGCGCGTGCGCCGGGGTGGCTGAGACCATGTAGGCGATCGAAGACGGCTCGCCGATATTGTTTTGGCAAAAAGGGTCTAGGTTTGCCTGTTGACACATCACACAAAACGGAAATGTTGGATCCAGGT